ATTTGTTTCTGCCTCTGCCGGGGATCGAACCCGGGCCCTTAGGGCTACGACCCCAGAGGGCTGTCCACTCACACGGGCGCCTCGCGGCTGTGTGTGTGTGTGTGTACTCACCTATTTGTCCTTGCGGGGGTTGAGCTTTGGCTCTTTGGTCCCGCCTTTGGTCCCCGCCTTTGGACCCGTGTGTGTGTGTGTGTGATGCACTAGCACACACACAATGCAAACACACCTCGTCAACAAACCACACTACAATGTGAAATGCAAACACCTGCCTTCATTTAAAGATCCACACGGCCCTCAGTAAACCCGTTTCCCCTCTCTGGTCCCCCTCTTATTACCACAAAAACACCCACCATGTGTCAACATCGCCGAACCTAAACGCAAGATGAAAAGACGCATCAAGACGTCGGCACCTGTACTGAGGGAAAGTTCAAGTGACTCACGTAAATGTTAAAAATATATATAATCTGAAAGTCGAAACAGCAAAAAACTATTGGTGCTCTTGGCTTTTCTGGTGACTCAGAGCTTTTCTTATTATTTCTTTACCTAATTTTCCGACCACAATAAAGCATTTGTACATATCCGAGTGGTAGTGATTTTTCTATTAAATTTATGCCGAAGTTATGTGCTCTGTATGTTTCCAAGAGGGCCTGACGGCGGAGTGGACAGCACTCGGGTCTCGTAGTCAAGTTCCGGGGTCTATTCCCGGCGGAGGCGGAAACAAATGGGCAGGTTTGCTTTCACTCTATTGCCCCTGTTCACCTAGCAGTAAATAGGCACCTATAAGTTTGACAGCTGCTACGGGCTGCTTTCTGGGGGTATGTAACAAAAAAAAGGCCTGGTCGAGGACCGGGCCGCGGGGACGCTAAGCCCCGAAATCATCTGAAATAACCTCCCAAGTCACCGTCAACGCCATGGGTGACGTCAATATACCTCCACCTCCCCCCCCCCCACCATCCAAGCCAAAACTGACCGAGGGATAATTAAATTAACCAGTTCGATACAACTGTTTAGTCCCACCTGACAGTGAGGTCGCGTTTTCTCCTCTAAAATCAAGGTGGATTAGTTTTTAGTGCCTCTTCCATGAACAGGAGGTACTTTGGCAGGGAGTAGCGAAACCTGGTCCAGTACTCGAGCCAAGAAGGTAATACCAACAAGCAATAATACAAGTGCTTCTCATTTAACAATGTTATGAATAAGTGATACAAGGAAATTATGTCCTATTAAGAAACACCACATTTAAGACCACTGAAGTACAGACAAATGCATATTTAATCCCAGTAAGGAAAAACGTGTTAGAGCTCTGGTTGCACGAGCCTCCCAAACAACAAGGTACCATATCACCTTCCGTCACGTGCACTTCCTGAACCCATTATGGGCCTCTTTAACACTTTCCCCCACCGCCCACGGGATGGATATGGGGTGCATAATAAAAAAAAATGAAATTAACCAAATAAAATACACGCGACTCGATAGCAATTAAACAAAAGCTGGTGGGAAACCATGCATTTGTTAAGCTCAGAGGCTGATAAAAAGATAATGTAACTTTAAGGCTAGCCAAGAATGACTATCAACAAAATAATTGACTTCAAGCAGCTGGGGTATAGTTTTCAAGCGCCTCATTAAATCCGTAACTGCGAAAAAAAGCCTAATAGAGGTTCGATCAGTAAAATAAACAAAACCGCACACTACCCTTTCATCCTAGAATTGCTTCACAAGATTCTAGCAAAATTCTAGCTATAACTAAACCAATCATTATGTGCCTTTGTAACCCTTTCCACCGCCACCCAAGGGATAGGTATGGGGTGCACAATTAATATACTATAATCCTCTCTATACGCATTCAACATCAATCTTAATTACACGTAATCCTTAGGGCACAGACTGATTCTAAAACAGTATTGATTTAGTCCGACTTTAAAAGGGTAATGAGCGCGTTTAGGGTAAGTTCGAGTAGGCCTTTTCTTCGGTATTTCTTGACATTATGCTTTAGTACAACCCATATTTAAACAGGAGGTGCATAAACACAACCCATATTTAAACAGGAGGTGCATAAACACAACCCATATTTAAACAGGAAGTTCACAAACAACCCATATTTAAACAGGAAGTTCATAAACACACCCATATTTAAACAGGAAATTCATAAACCATGTTAGACTTGTTGGTCCAACCACTTGGGACCCCCCCCCCCTCCCCTGGTCCCATCCCAAACCCCCATACCGATCCCTTCCAAATGCTATATAGTCGTATTGGCTTGGCGCTTTCTCTTGATAGTTCCCTGTCCTTGATGGGTATTGCCAACTCAACCAATAAAACCATTAGTAATATTCTACGGAAAAAAAACAAAATTGCCTACTGCAATTTTTTCTTTCAGTTTAAATATGCTAATAATTCACAGTAACGAATACTGTACCATACTCTTTTTCTGTTCTCCACTCTGGCTTTGCTTACACTTTTCCGGCGATTCTGTTAAAACTTGCAGCATGACGAACACTGTATCTTTTCCTTCAGTAAAGTTTGTTAACACATGCAAATAACGATATAATGTATTCCCCAGCTCGACCACGGCTTGTGGCCACTTAACGAGACCACATGACCTAATGACCAAGTGGGTTAGGTTCATCACACCTTCAAATCAGTGCACACCATCTCCTGCCACGTTTATTATATAACAATTATTCTTGCATACAACTAATTATAATACAGTACAAATAAGAGCGAAATGGGTTTATCATTTTCATATATGGTCAGGGGGGGGGGTTAAGTTGGTTAGTTAGGAGGTTAGGCCGAAGCTTGAAACGAGCCGGGACCCAGTGGACACCATATCCAATTATAACGGTAAATGAACGGTGAATCAACGTTATCAAGGTTAAATGTCAGCACTGTGGAGAAATGCCCGACAGACCACTGCAACATTATCTAACACAGTGCACAGTTACAAACCCAATAAGATCGTCTTACTGAAGATTTTACTGAAGCGACCATACAAGTCATAAATACTCATACTGGAATACTTTATTTTTCCATTTCGTTGGTGAAACATTTATTGAGAGGCGTATGTGCCCATATGTTTCTCCAGTGAAAACAGAAGGATAAATACATAGGCATAGAAAATAACAAACATACACGGATAGCCTAACTGTAGAGGTATATACCATTCCCTGGCCCGGATGTCAATCTGACGTGGAGGACAAAGAAGGTAAGATATGGTAATTATCATAGCTTAGAAGGCGCTAAGCTTACAGATAAGGTAGGTCACAATTAACATTTTCTCGGCATTTGTAAATAAACCGTGCCTTACTAACTTTACTAAGGTCTAAGTGGGCAAAACATGCTCGAGTAATCTTAAATCATCAACGTTATCGACGTTGATTCGGCGTCGTATTTATAATATTGTGTTGTATGTATCATTATTGTGTCCACTTTATTATTATTAATGCCCATCACGTTATCACAAGTCGAGCCTGGCCTCAGGTCTGGCTCGGGGAGTAGAAGAACTCCTGAAGCCCTCTCCAGGTATGATGGTTGAGACTTTGATATCTCGTGCGTAGTTAGGCGCTTCACCAAGGCGTGTATAGAGAGGATCGAGTACTATTATGGTTGTATTTGAGAGGAATGTACGTTGGGACGATGGCGTATAATGATCACGCGTAGTCAATATCGTTTGTAATGAGGATCGAGCATATGTCTGGTGAGGATCGCAGCCCAGTGAAAATTGTGTGTAGTGAAGCTTATTCGTATTTATATGAATACATCCTTACTCTGGGTAAACGTCGGGAGCTCATTTCTTCCCTAGAGTATCTTTGTTAGTTATATAATAAACATGCCTCAAGTTATCCAAAAATTGCGACAAGGTGCATGGTGTGTGTACTGGCTAGTGAACTTGATACAGTTACATCTCGCACACAAACAACTAGGTTAGTACGAACCGATCCGAGCGAGGTTGTGTGATGTAAAGCAAAACGATAAACTATGTTAATGTTAATGATAAACTATGCAGTATCAGATTTCCATACCAAGCACTTTGTTAAATGGGTCACCTGACCGGAATTGTATTTCCTCTTTGTCACCAAGATATTTCAAGCAGTCAAGTGGCCATTAAAAACCTATAGTACAGTATATTCAAAACTTTGGTCTAGGGCTTGTGCTTAATTCCAGGGAATCAATACTTTAATTAAACATGCTCGACTGAACACTGTTTGGTCTAAATTAGGTTGTCAGATTGGATTATATTCACTTTGTCACACTGAATTAGGTGTTGCTTATGTAAGTCACAAATAAAGAGGTTGATGCATTTATGCTACATGAAAATGCTTAAACAATTTTGCCTGTACAGTACTACTCTCGTATTACATAACAAAAATTAAGACAGTATATTGTATAGTTTTTATTTACTAATAATCAGAATTCAAAATCTTATGATATTAATCATTAATGTAATGTTTAATATCATTAATCAATCTAATGATTAATATCATCAATCATTAGATATCTGACTAATGATATTAATCATTATAATTTAATGATTAAAATCATCAGTAATTATAATGATTAATATCATCAGTAATTATAATGATTAATGATTGACATTAATCATCTCAACTAATCGGCATTAGGGTAATCAAGTGTTTAGTTCTATTAATGGTCTCAACTAGTGAAGTCCTATTAAAAATCGACATTAATAAAGTAAATAATATAAATCTATATTGTCCCAACAAATCGATATTATACCATCTAAAAATCTATATTAATCAAGAGTATCAGCAATATTTATCGACTAAAAGGCGACAATAATAGTGGCTGGACAAATCGATACGAGTCGAGTGCGTAATCAATATTAGTCATGTTTTTATTATCTCACTCTGTGTGACTACTGACTTCCGCCTCTGCCCGGGGGATGAGTGTCTATAATGAACTACAGTAATTAAACTCGGTTAATGTGTGTTGCGGCGAGCCATAGTGAGCTACTACCCAGGGATACCAAGGGCTTCAGGGCTCACCTTATGGGTCTTGGTGACGGCGTTAAGAGCGTGGACGTCGTGGGCGTGGTGGCGTCCATGGTGTAGACAGAGAACGCAGACGGGCAGACGACAGGTGAGACAGTACATGGAGACGTGCTCCTGAGGGTGATGGCCGCACCTGCCCTCCCGCTCCCTCCGGCGAGCCCTCAGCAGCGCCCTGCCCTCCGCCACGTTCACCAACCAGTGTGCCGCCAGCGGCCCCCGGTCGGGGTGGCAGGAGTCTCTGCAGGGGCCGCAGTAGAAGACCAGACACTGGTCGCAGAAGACTTGGGCGGGGCGAGGAGCTCCTGAACCTTCACACAACTGACACGGCTCGGCTACCTGGTACCGCTCCAGGTGCTTGTCCACTACCGCCGCCAAGACCCTGTACCGCGTCAGGCCCTGCGCCCCTGCCTCGTCGGCGGGGGTCGCCACGCTACACTGAGGGCAGGTGATGGTATAGACAGGCGGGGGTGGCAGGGGCTCGCTGCTGCTGCTGCTGCTGCTGCCACCCACCTCAGGAGCGCCCACTAGGCTGGTGGGTCGGGAGCTGCACGACACGCCGGAGTCGGCGTCACTCAGCACAGAAAGTTTATCAACCTCAGAAGTTTCGTGGAGGTCTTCGGCAGGAGGCACACTTCCTTCCTCCTCGCCGCGGGGAGGTACCACCGCCGGCTTTTGCAAGTCTCGAGCGCAAGCGAGACACATGGCATGTCGACACGCTAAAAGAACCGGCACGTGGTAGAACCCAGTACACTGAGCACACCGTAATTCCTCCTCCATCTCGCTCACTGGCTCACCTCGTACTGTTTACTCTCCTCCCGTTGAGAGACGCGGGCTCCCCCGCCTGCCACATCTCATCCACAAACTCAACTCGGCCTCTATTTTGGCGACCACCACAGAGCTTGTCTGCCTTTATATTAACAGTATTAGTTTTTGGTACACTTGAATGAAATTATGAAGCAGCTCGAGAGTAAATATATAGCTTTAAAATCGTATTTATAATATCCACAATGAAAACGGGAAAGCTGGCGCACATTTTTAAATGGAGCTCCAGTAAACATGATTCTATTATTGTTTCTTTATATATCTTATATATATTAATGATTAATATCATTAATTAATCTAATGATTAATATCATCAATCATTAGATATGACTAATTATATTAATTATAATTTAATGATTAATATCAGTAATTATAATGATTAATGATCGACATTAATCATCTCGACTAATCGGCATTATTAGGGATAATATATATAATAATATATATTATCATATATATTAATATATATAATATATATAATATATATATAATAATGACAGTGTCAGATTACGGAGGAAGAATTGAAACAGGAATTTCCTTAAGTATTTTCGTATATTAGTACATCTTCAGAAGGAATGAAGATGTATTCTATTCTTTTCCTTCTGAAGATGTACTAATATACGAAAGTACTTAAGGAAAATTCTGCTTCAATTCTTCCTCCGTGGTCTGACACTATCACATTTTTCATCACATGTTAATTTTCGTGATTTACACACACACACACGCAGGGGCCTTGTAGCCTGGTGGATAGCGCGCAGTACTCGTAATTCTGTGGCGCGGGTTCGATTCCCGCACCAGGCAGAAACAAATGGGCAAAGTTTCTTTCACCCTGAATGCCCCTGTTACCTAGCAGTAAATAGGTACCTGGGAGTTAGTCAGCTGTCACGGGCTGCTTTCTGGTGTGTGTGTGTGTGTGTGTGTGTGTGTGTGGAGTGGAAAAAAAAGTAGTTAGTAAACAGTTGATTGACAGTTGAGAAGCGGGCCGAAAGAGCAAAGCTCAACCCCCGCAAGCACAAATAGGTGAGTACACACACACACACGCAGGCAGCAGTTCCCTGATAATACGAAACCATTGTTGCATGGCTTAATGGGCCCACAACCATTAACACAAACGGCTCACGCATGCTCTCTTGTGGTCAAGGACCAAATATGACTAAGAATGTTGCGGTCTGCACATTAATTCCTGTTGTTAACTGTTATGCTTTTACTGCTGCTGCTGCTGATGTATTAATTTAAATATTAATAATGTTGCCTGTGGTGCTGTTTAGTATTGTTACTGTTTGCGATATTAAGAACAAATGAATTAGGGAGTATCACAGCATGTATATTTGACCCATATATTAGAACATTTTGGAATCGTCACTGATGTTCGTGTTGTCACTGACGTTGGTGTTGCTGTCACTGATGTTCGTGTTGTTGTCACTGATGTTTGCGTTGTTGATGATGTTTCTTCTTCTTGTTGATAGTAGGTGCAGTTTGCATGAAGGGTTTGTCCTCCCGATGACTGCACCAGTACTGATGTTGTTGGACGCGTTTATGTTGAAGATGATCGGAGCTACCAAGGTGCTTGTTGCTTTGTGCTGTAGATAGAGGAACGGTGATTAAAACAGAGGTGTGTGTTAGAGGGAGACTTGCCGCACCGTAGGGCGGTGTGTTGTGTTTATGGCGTCAGCTGATCCTTGGTGTTGCGACGAGGCAGTTGTTTTCTGTGTTTAGCTGTTGGTGGCGCCAGGTATAAATGTGGCGCGGGTCAGATGTGACCCAATTTGTTTGTCGATTGGAGATATTTAGCCAGTGCTTTGACTATTTGGTATTTTTCTTGTGACGAGTGGTCACCGCCTCCTAATATATGCTCGATGGTGAAGGGTATTTTAAGTGCGATAAAGACTTGTTTGAAATTTACTCTGGCGCTATAATGTCGGAAGCAGTGCAGGAGATAGTGTTCGACTGTTTCAGGCACCTGACAGTGAGTACAGAGTTCGTTGATGTCTGTTCTGTACTTAGAGCTGTGTGCTGCTAGTTTGGTGTGTCCCAGCCTTAATCTGGTCATCGTTACATCAATTTCTCTGCTTTTATATCGGACATGTTTCCAAGTTTCCCATTTCTTTTTAATGGACCCATAGTGCAAAGGTGAGCATAACGTTATCCAGTTTGTTGCAAAATCCTGGGAGGATTCGACGATCGTGGGATCGGATGCGCCCCGGCTGCCCGATACCGGGAAATAGCGAAGGGACGGGGTCCCTATAGTCTCTTCAGGCCATAGACCCTACAATCTCCTAAGGCGAGTTGATGATGTTGTTGACTGATGTTTGCGTTGTTGTCACTGATGTTCGTGTTGTTGTTGTCACCGATGCTTATGGTGGTGTTGTCACTGATGTTTGGTGGTGGTGTCACTGATGTTCGTAGTGTTTTTGTTGTTGTCATTGACGTTCACCGTGTTGCAGTTTAGTGCTAATCTTTTCATTGTTGAAAAGATAGGAAGGCTGTTAGGCTCATTGAGGTTCCCCCATATTCAAATACTGACCTTCAGAATGCAAGCCACAAATTACCTACTTTCTGGGTACCAATTTGCTGCTAGGGGCCTCGTAGCCTGGTGGATAGCGCGCAGGACTCGTTATTCTGTGGCGCGGGTTCGATTCCCGCACGAGGCAGAAACAAATGGGCAAAGTTTCTTTCACCCTGAATGCCCCTGTTACCTAGCAGTAAATAGGTACCTGGGAGTTAGTCAGCTGTCACGGGCTGCTTCCTGGGGGTGGAGGCCTGGTCGAGGACCGGGCCGCGGGGACACTAAAAAGCCCCGAAATCATCTCAAGATAACGTCAAGATAGGTGAATGTAGGAAACATTACCCAAACGCTTTTGTTCTGCCATGGGAATTGAACCTGTCACAGTACCCTTAATGTGGACAGGTCTTTTATTATGTCCTCCATGTTGCATTTTGTTTTGTGTACAGTATAGTCCCCTTGTAGGATCCCATGCTAGCTTATGAGCCATGTCTCGCCACCTTTTGGTTGTTCAATGTATTGAGTTAACGGATCTCCTTTGCTAAATCTCCAATTCTTGTTACCTTGCATTTGTCAAGGCTAAAGTCAAACAGCCATTCCTCTATCCACAGAGCTTATCCAGGCCCTCCTGCATTTTTTTTTTTTATAATCCACATGTGTTCTGACCTTTATAAATTTTGCATCTGTAAACACTGATGTAAATTCATTAACTACCTATTTTAAGCCATTTACATGTACAGTATAAGAAATAATATATGCCCAAGTACAGTACTGACCTTTGTTGTGCTCTATTTGTGATCTCTCTCCTCACATTAACTCTTACATGTAACTTTTTATTGCATTTATTATTACATCATCTTTATATATATCAAATTAATTTTTTACAACTGTCTATAGAACCCTACTTCAGTGTGCCAGTTACATTTTACATCCTTTTACAAGACTATAAATGTTTCTCAAATGTTTCCCCATCCTTCTACAGCATCATATCTGCATTCCAGTAACACACTACCTCCCTCTACAAGACCACACCTTCTTACTGCCCAGCTCTTTGCTTATTCTAACTTTGCCATTAGAATCTTGATAACATGCAAGAGTGAGGTCTGATGAAGAGACTAGGAGTATAGGATAAATTAACCAAAGTCACACACGAAGTTTTGAATTGATGTATAATGTCACAAATTTAACTCTAACAAAAATATAACATTTACAAATTGAAATGCATTAACTATTAATAAAATATCACATTAGATCATTATGTAAGTACAATAAATTTACACGTCTAATCTTTAACCACAGGCATAATAAACGACTTTATATCGAGTGGATTGACACCCTGGCTTATGTATTTTCATGATTTTAAAATGCTCAAGTGGAGAGACTATGAACACTTTTATTTCATTACTGTATAAGGCTGCAGTGGAAGTTCACTCCAACACTGAGATCCATTGATCAACTAATGTGCATCAGGGAATTTTACATTTTTAGAGTTGAGTACTCCTGAAAGTTTGTATGGTAGAAACATCTGAGACTACAGTACTAGTATTCTGTGCCATCTACAGACTAAGATAGGGAAAGATTGGATTCACTTTCAGATGCAGGGCTCTCTCATTGCTCTCAATTTATTTTTTATTGTATCTACATCTTCTTAAATATGTGCACAAGTTATTTTGCTTGCAAAAGCTCCAAAAAAGATTATTGTCTTGAATATATAGTAGTGGACATGCTATTTGCATTAAATTATACCTGATCATTTTCTTCCATAAATTCAATTGATAACTCATGTTATGCTACACAAATGTAGACAATATCAGTATATACACAATTAACAGTAACCCAGCTAACAAAAATTAATATGATGAATACCTTAGCAGGATTTTTATGAGCATCATTTACATTTATTTTTAATATTTGTTCCATATGCTAATGGCAATGGCAACATAAAGCAATGCTGTATTCAAGAATTCCAAAGTCAAAAAAAGCACATTGAACATAATTTATGCCACTGCTAGTTCCTCACTTATCTCCAAACAGCACTCCTGTACTCAATGGCACTCCCACATACTGTACGTTGAGGAGTCTCCTTAATATTTCAAACACTACTGTGCCTTATTTATTTAACCTTTTATTGATCTTCATCTTTTTTTCTCACCCTCCTTTTACTGTCTTATCAAATGTCTAGAGATTAAATTTCCACACCTATACACACGCAGTGAGACAGCCCTCGTTCACTTCACATACAGTACTTATTTGTTAATTTGTTAGTTCAAGCAACTGAAATATACTTCACCTAAGCAATAACCAAAGCCGACTGAAAAATTCCTTGGCAAATGCTACAAGTTTTACAGAATTCCAAGTTACACAAAAAAGTACATGTATAGTTAAAATGCTTGATTACTCAAAATGCACTATTCTGTTCTAATTCTTGGAAAAGGAACATATGTATGATGAAAATGATGATAAAGCAATAACAATAGGGATGGTAATAATAATAATAATAATAATAATGATGATTAAGCATAAATTTATAAAGTAGAACTCTTTCTAACCATGACTACATACAAAACACTGCACCCATTAGTATCATGAGCAGTACTGGAGTGAGTTTCTACTACTGTACATATACAATATTGTGCCACAGTTTCAACCCAGTAGTATATACATAATATTTATTAATAAATCTTTCTCTAATCGAATGAATATTTAAATAAACATCTATAGAGTGATTTTTAAAAATTTACATATCAATTATAAGCAATTAAATAAAACTTTGATATCATTCCATGTGCTGTATTAAGAGCACACAGCTCTATCAGGAAGGTCAATTGAAGTAAATACAAACCACACATCATGCCTACCTGCAAATTAAATGTACATTTAAGAGATGATATTTTTGTGAACCGTGGCTATGATTTTGCAAGAAAATTATAATTTCTCATCCTGAGACATGTCAAATGCTGCCTTCTTCATCTACTTGTGTTCTATTGCACAATGTCATTTCATTGGCTCACCAGATGTGTTTCGTAAATGAAGTTTGGTGGAATTTGTTAATCCGTCCCTATCACAACTCTGCACAGTATTCAGTGGCACAGATGTTCCTTATGTCAGGGAACTGGATTAAGAAAACAAGTTGAGGGGGAAGAACTTAGAAACAAGTTTTGTGACTTAGTAACTCTGGAAATGCAAACAAAACAGATATTAATGAGAAATATATGTACTGTATATAAATATATATATATATATATTATATAATGAATATTGCCAATATAATGCATAGGGTACTAAAAATAAGTAAAGAAAAACTAATGATATTCCATTTATCACATACAACAGAAAATGCCACTTACCCGGCCATAAGCACAAGAGAAAGCACACTTGTATGGCTTAATTCAGTAAGCGTTTTAGAAAAACTTTTAATCTGTTACTTATATAAAAAGTGTATTTTTTTTGTTACAATAGTAGGTAAAATATTGTTCACATAGCCTGTGTGAGCTGCCAAGTATATTCCTGGCTTCCAGGATTAATTTGGCAGTAATGCAAGCTCCTATGTGCTGTGGTGCTCAGTTATGTCATTTTCTGTACCTGAAAATAATAGAGTAATAATCAATTCATATCCATAAAAAAAAGTTTATAATATTATTACTGTACATGCATGCATGCATACATACATACATACATTCAGAATTGCTTTTAAATACATGGATGGCAAAATACTAAAGAAATTGTACACGACTTTTGTTAGACCAAAGCTGGAATATGCAGCGGTTGTATAGTGCTCATATCTTAAGAAGCACATCAACAAACTGGAAAAAGGTGGCAAGACATGCCACTAAGTGGCTCCCAGAACTGAAGGACAAGAGCTACGAGGAGAGGTTAGAGGCATTAAATATGCCAAAACTAGAACATAGAAGAAAAAGAGGTGATATGATCATTACATACAAAATAGTAACAGGAATCGATAAAATTGATAGGGAAGAATTCCTGAGACCCAAAACTTCAAGAACAAGAGGTCGTAGATTTAAACTAACGAAACAAAGCTGCCGGAGAAATATAAGAAAATTCACTTTTGTAAACACAGTGGTAGACGGTTGGAACAAGTTAGGTGAGAAGGTGGTGGTGGCCAAAACCGTCAGTAATTTCAAAGCATTATATGACAAAGAGTGCTGGGAAGACGGGACACCACGAGTGTAGCTCTCATCCTGTAACTACACTTAGGTAGTTACACACACACACACACACACACACACACACACACACACACACACACACATACATACATACATACATACATACATACATACATACATATATATATATATATATATATATATATATATATATATATATATATATATATATATATATTATACATAATACACACACACACACTGCATTGAAATATTTTTGCCTAAATTAATTTACCCCTTAATATTAATATACTGAATACTGCACATAAGTTACCAACTTAAGCCTAGTTTTATCTCTGTTAGAAGTATTAGACTATATTACAGAATAATCAGCCTATTTAGGTCACATTATGAAGTTAGTTTTAATTCAAATTAAAAACAAAATTGCATCTATCAATCCTCATATGGTTTCCATTTATATGGGACAGAAAGCCTTTCAAGATTATCTACGTCTTTCTAGGGCCAACGACTTTCTTTCTTAAAGTTGCACAGAAAATATCCACTCACGTTATACAAACAGGATGAATGTAAATGAGATCAGATCTTGTGCTTGATCTACGTATTGGCTTAGAATGGTTGGCATAGTGACGACCTCCCCTCTTGAATGGTTGGCGTTTAATTCCCAATGGTCCAAGTGATTGGGAACCATTTCTTTACTCCATCATTATATCCCAGTTCCCTGTCCTCATATACATTCCAAGTGCTTGGTGTTTTTTCCTGACAATTACCTTACCTTTGTGTTTGATTCACTCTATGAATACTGCACAAAGGATAAAATGATATACTGCTGTCTCATGCATTTCATTCCCCATTGTTCTCTGGTCCTCTACATTTAGGAACAATCACTTCCTATGAATTGTCATAATATTTTGTGCTAATTTACCATGATACTGTACCTGCTTGATGGGATTCTGGGAGTTCTTCTACTTCCCAAGCCCGGCCCGAGGCCAGGCTTAGACTTGTGAGAGCTTGGAACAACATGCTGTTGCTTGGAGCGGCCCGCAGGCCCACATATCCACCACAGCCAGGTTGGTCCGACACTTCTTGAAGAAAACTATCTAGTTTTCTCTTGAAGATGTTATCATTCTATTCTCAATGAATCATTCATCTAACTGTAGTCCTCTTAACATGTGATTCTACAGGTTTTCATTATGCATGTCCTTCTCCTTTTATCCAGCTTGGTAAACCTTCCTAAAGCCTCATCAGTCACAGTCAAATATTGATAAATTGGGCAATAATACCATCATGGACCTTTTGTGCCACCTGTAACTTAATTGTGCCACTGCTCGCAGGATGACTATGGGGTGCACCATAAACTAGCTGCAATGATGGAATCAAACGTACCCATTAAAAAACAAACTGGTAGCTTTTCTATGCATACTAAAGCAAGAAAAGTCTGAGCCAATTATATTCAATCAAGGTTAACAAAGTGATGCAGACTACAAGTGATTACAAATGATCTGTAGTGTAGCAACTAACACAGTTGATGTAACTGATTGGATCCGCATTAAATTCCCAGACTGGGCGAAACGTTCTGGCCCATTTCCTTACATATGATAGCTCTCTTCACCTAGTACTAAATAGAAACCAGAGTTAAGTGCTTATTGTATGTTGCAACTTGGGAGAAGTCCGTAACTGGCCCAGAGGAACCTTGATAATCTTGACAGGCTTCCTGACACCGATAAGAGAAAACATCACTAAGAGATAACTCTGTACATGTATTGTAATTAATATAAAACTTTATTGGAATGGACTATCTAATAGTACAATGTTAAATTTAGAAAGATGAGGAAGGGATGTAAAAATCAGAAGAAATATAATTCTGCACTGAAAAATAGTGAATGTACAGTAGTTGTATAAGCATATAGAGCAGCATTTGTGGAAAAAGTGATTCAAATAATGTTTAAATAGAAGGCATCCAATTATGATAACCTTTCAAAAGTGGTATAAAAATTAAAGGTATGGTAGAAAATTACACATAAGAGAAATGTAAAGGCCTACTGATGGAAGGATGCGCAGAGTACTGATGGAACGATGTATTAGAGAAATTGCTTAAATCAGGTTTGAAGTTTCTTTTTCTTACATGCTTTGCTGTAAAGGCATAATGAATCACAGAATACAGGTATGTAAACACAGTTGTGGAATCACAGTAATGTTGCACAGTATTGTGTATTATTTTATCTATAAACATTATAGTAATCTCTTAAAATAGCACGGTTTAATATCATAAAAGATATAATCCTAAAATGAAGTGTACCTAACCTTCAACATAAACAATACACTATTCAAAACTGCTTTCACCTCTCCTTTTTTGAAGAAGAAAATGAAGTATTTTTCCTTACAGGGCACCGATACAGACGATGTCGTGATAACTCTATGGGTCTTCTGAACCCTTCCTTGCACTCCAAACATTGGAAAGGCTTATGTGGGCTATGGTGTTCACGAAAATGTGACTGGAGGGAGCTCTGGAGTTTGTACGACGATTCACAGAAGAGGCATGCAAATGGCTTCTCTGTGGTGGAGAACTCGGTGCATGTGGTATTTTGTAATTTAATGCCCATGCGATATCTAGTTTCTACAGTGCCTAATCCATTGTCATATACTAGCACGGGCATGTGATACACACGCACATGCATCTTCAGGGCCAATGCCGATTCACATCTTGCTCTGCAGTACATGCACAGAAACACTTGAGCCCCATCCTCTTCTCTAATGACGCCAACTTTTAACTTTTCGTCTGGAGAGAAGAAGGCAGGATCAGTGTCAAAGACAATATTGGGCGTTGGCTGTGCCTGTTTCTGTGGAAGTGACCTCTGACTGCTAGTCCCATCATCGTCTACATCGATATCTGGTTCTACCTCCATAATCATTACACCCTGTAGGTGGTAAAACAAAAATATATATACATTATTTTGATGCTCCAAATAATCTTACAGTAATACAAAACCTACAATTTAAAATGTACAATTTATATAGCATTTTAATTAAGAATATTAATGTTCTAAATACAGTAATTGATTTCAAGTAGAGAAATTTAACTGCTACAGTCAATATGCAGTGCAGCCTCCTAGGAACTTGTCTGCATTTGGTCCATTACCTTCCCTTGTCTCATCTGCATTTAATAATTTCTGCCTAAACCTCATCAATGCTTGCAACATTCCCACATTTCAGCCTTGGCATGATGTACTTTTCTCTCAAGATATATATGCTGGTATTTTATCACATTTTTGTCATACAAACAAAACCAGCCACATTCAGTTACAATTTCTGTATTGTATCATTTCCAGCCATAATACTTTTAAAATTTTTCTCCACCTTTTAATTCCATTGTACTTACCTTTTATTATTCCCATTGGTTTTTCATTAGTCTCCTTGGTGCACTTTCTTACTCTTCTCCAAAGAGAGCAGTAAGAAAGTTAGCACTTTGCACTTTCCAATTCTTATTTCTTCCTAACTACTCATCCTGTTGGTATTTTTTCTAGTTGACTAACCTTTCACTATCACACGTACAATACTGTACTTCTATTTTTTTGCCCCTTTCTCGTTCACTATTGTTTTTTGTGCAGTTCTACACACTTGTCAATCTTGACGAAACATTTTTTGTACACATTTAACCTTTTGACAAAGTCCCCCATAAGAGGCATTGCATAAGTTGTAGAAACAGGTTGGAGTAACTTTTAAGGTGCTCCAATGGATGAGGGAGTGCCTAAATAACAGGAAGCAGAGAGAAACTGTGTGAGGCGAGGCCTCAGAATGGTGTGATGTCATCAAAGGAGCCCCACAGGGTTCTGTACTTGGAACTATCCTGTTTCTGATAAACATGAATGATCTTCCAGACGTTATAGTCCCAATCACTTGGGCTGGACAGTAGAGCGACGGCCTTGCTTCATGCAGGTCGGCGTTCAATCCCTGACCTTCCAAATGGTTGGGCACCAATCCTTTCCCCCCGTCCCATCCCAAGTCCGTCTATGGAACTCACCCCCAAATGAATCGAAAAGCTGTCCAACTTTTGTCATTCAAAAACAAAACTAAAAAGTAACTAATTTCATCTTCATAGTTTTTTACCTTGTTGCTTTAAAATTGCACTGTATCTAGTGCTACCCAATCTCCCAATCTTTATGTACCCAATCCAAACAACTTTACCATTGTGATCATTGCTGTCTTCTTATATGTGCTATCAATTTGCTGTATGGTGCCTATTAATCTTTGTTTAAATTACCAATCAAGCTGTCAATGTAATCAGAGCTTTAATATACCAATGTGCTTTAATATACTTACTAATCTCTCTCATCTCATTTTTTTTCTTGCAATGTATCTTATCATTTTATTAATTCTGCTAGAATTTACCTACTTACAATTATCTGTTAGATTAAGGACCTGCCCGAAACACTGCGCGTACTAGTGGCTTTACAAGATTGTATTTTACTATGCTATGTATTCTCACAAACCCAATGTACCTTCTTGTATATAAATAAATAAATAGTTCATAAAAATGAACACGATAATGGCCTATACTTTTGTGCTATTTGAGAACAGGCTCATTGTGCTATTTGGGTACTAACCCATGAAGAATTGTACTATTTGGGTACAGGTCAACGGAAGAAATTGTGCAATTTGGGTACAGGCCCATGGGCCATTATGTTATTTGAGCACATGTGGCACTGCATGACTTGGATACTGGATAATGCAGCATTATAATATAGTACCTATTTATTCACTTTGGAAATTGGCACAAAACCAGATACTACTTGATAAAAAAAAAGAAAAAAAGACTGAGGTATCAATTTCAGTATGCCTGATACCTGTTTATATACATACTACTGGAAATTCTGACTTTAATCATTCTACAACTAGTACTCAGACCAAGTTCATTTAATGCAGTGGTCGACCCGAAAGATGCATCCATAAATGTTAACATGCAGTTCATTCAAAAGATATATACAGTGGTACCTCGGAATACGAGTGTCCCTGTATACGAGTTTTTTGGAATACGACCAGGATTTACTCGGAAAATTTGCCTCGGAAGGCGAGGGTTGCCTCGGAACACGAGGGTGTTGATACACGTACAGGCCGACTAGCGTGTGGTGGCATGGCGATCGCGCCTCAGTTTACCAGTGTCTCGCGCCCAGTGACTATCCCGCCTGAATTCTTCACATGGATTTACAGTTTTTTGTCGTTTTTTGGGCCATTTTAACATAAAAGTTGTTGTTATATATCTCGCCATGGGTCTCAAGAAAGCCATTGGCAAGGTTCAACCTAAGAAAATACTGTAGCTGTGAGTAGAGGCAGTAGAGGATGTCCCTTCTTGATTAAGAAAATGTGTGAAGTATGGAAGAACTGCAAAGTTTTGTTGAAAAAACTCACCCAGATAAAGCTGTAGCAGGCCATTGCATTGACCTTTTAAATGACAATGTGATGTCTTACTACACACAAGTGTTAAAATGTAGGGAAAAACAAGTGTCTTTAGACAGATTCTTAGTAAGACAAGCAAGTCCTAGTGGTATGCAGGCAAAATGTGCCAGAGAGTGCACACCAGTGAAGTCCTCATTGCCTGATGTTATAATGGAAGGGGACTCCCCTTCCAAACAGTAACACCTCTCCTCCTCACCATCTTCCATACGCCAACAGCAGTCATCAGCAAGGGTAAGTAATAACTTGAACATAGTTTTGTAGGTATATTTAGATGAATTAGGTATAAAATTTAGTTTGAAGTGAGGATTTTGGGTAGTCAGGAACGGATTAATTCATTTCCCATTATTTCTTATGGGGAAATAAGCTTCGGATTACGAGTTTTCGGAATAAGAGCTGTTTCCAGGAACGGATTAAACTCTTTAACCGAGGTACCACTGTATTTTGTGACTCAAATATAAATTAATATTGTTATTTATTAGCATAATGTGTATATTTAGGAATTGCTTAGGTTCTGTTGATTATTTGTAGTACGTGGATGAAGCATTTAGTGTTGTGGTTCGAACTAAAGTCGTCAGCAAAGCACTTGTTCTGGAAGAGTTCGGACGTCATCAGTTGCGAGTTGTGTGTAAACCGTTTTCATTCATAAACAGGGGGTTTGAGATGAAAGGAAAGTTTTGTGACAATTTTGTACCAGGACAGAATGTCATGATTGATGAATTGTTAGTCCTCTTCAAGGGACGACTAGCATTCAAGCAGTACATTCCATCAAAGCGGCACAGGTTTGGACTTGGACAGTTTTTCATGCTATGTGACTATTGCGAAACTGGTATTGTCATGGACATGATACTGTGTTCAGGTACAGACGTTGACATACCAGGTCAGGATTCACACGGGTTCTCAGGCAGTGCTGTGAAAACACTCATGGAAACATTGCTGAACAAGGGTCATATCCTGTATACTGACAACTACTACACCAGCCTCTTGTTGACCAGATTCCTCCTTAACCACAACACCAGCGTATATGGCACTGTCAAGCCCCACAGGAGGGAAAATGCCAGTGTTTGGTACTGCTATTGCAATGGGTGAATGCGAATGTGCTGTGAATGTGTGATAGAATTTTATCAGTGCACTGGAGGGACAGACGTGAGGTGAATATATTGACAACTATTCACACCAGTGCCATATTGGACAGTGGCAAGGTGAACTTTGCAACAAGGTTGCTAATGTACAAACCTGATTGTGTCATTGACTACAATGTCAATATGGCAGCTAGTTGATAAACGTGTCATGATGGTTGGTGTCGTCGAGTGCGTGCAAAAATTTATGAAGTGGATAAAGAAATTCTTTTTCCACCTCATTGACGTTGCAGTGCTGAACTGTTTCAATGTGTATCTCGTGAAATCTGGCAAGAGACCCCCCAAAACGTACATTCTGTGCTGCTCTAGTATCACAACGTCTTGTGAAGTATGGGGGGTGGAGGGCTGTGTTGCAACGTGTGGGGTGCCAGCAACAATGCCTCATGCAGTTCCTGACAGACTCAGGAGTAAAGAACACTTTGCTGTACACAAGCTTGGTTATATGCCAGGCACAGACACATGGGACAAGGGTAAACGTGCCTGTGTTTGCAAGAACACGTAACGTAGGGAACGCAAGCAAAAGATTCATCTGCACCTGGTGCAAAGTTCCCCTATGCCCCATTGACTGCTTAACAACCCTCAAACTTGCATGAAGTGAGGGGGGACCCCGGGGTCACATCCATCAAACCCACTCGTCCCCTAGGGGATTCCCAGAGTGCTGAGCGTTTACTTGAAGAGGACTCGAGCTCAGGTAAACCCAGGCAGGGTACTGCTAACCGGCACCCAAAACTACCAAACAAACTGTCTAAAGCTGAACCCCAGGGACGTGTACACTCACAGCGACCAAGCAGGGGGCAACACAGGGTGTATCAGGGTGAGGTCAAAAAACCAGTGGCAAATAGGGCAGAACCCCCCCACCAAGGCAAAAACAAAAAGAAAAACAACCCCGCAAGAGGACAACGTACCCCAAGGAACAGAGCCAGCCGCTGTGATACGTGACAACTAGCTGCACCACACCCTGCGCCCCACCAGTGCAAAAACTGCCTCTTACCCTAAGGTTAACTAGGGGAGACAAAACCCCCAAGTACCCAAAGAGCGACTGAGAAACTGAGCAGTAAAACGGATATACAGAGGCAGACCCTGAGGAACTTGTGAAAGGTAACCCCAAGCTCCAAGGGCAGTACTTACAAGGCACCTAGGGAAGGAAACCCTAGGCGCATGCAGCCCAAGTACTGAGGAATAACTCCTGGCTCTCGCACCCCTGGAGAACAGCAGCCACACATAAGGCACAGCGCCGCAAAAAGACTGGAGCCAGAGCACACAACCGAGCCGATAGCATCAGCCTCAAGAATTGGGGTGTGGATCGCCGGCGTGGTAGGTCTGGGGGCTGCCCCTTCCCCCTCTCAGGGGCTGCGCAGACAGCGGCACAACGATGAATGACTTCATACTAGTTTGCTCGTTTTTTGTTTGGGGAGTTCTATCCACTCGTTCGGCTTTTGGTTGCAATTTTCACCAAAATAGGGGTTTGTTTTGGGACGCCTACCTTTCTGGGTGCCTAACCCGATCGATGGCAGACATAGAATGCTTCCAATTACACGGGGGTTTCTATAGGCCATTGCTCCCCTTGCCTCTCTAGAAGGGGCCAGGTTCTGGCTCGTGGTCCCCGGTAGGCCCATAAGAACTCCATACACATGACTGATGCCAAAGTCTGACATTAGCATATCAGCCTGGATAGCTCTGGGAAGCTGAAGGGGCTCCTCCCAAAAAGCAGCGACTTTCAGACAAGTGATAAAACTCATGTGGGGTTCTTCATAGTTCCCATATTTGTAGAACATTGAAATGGTACATCCTACAGAAAATATAATTTTAAAATTAGGAAAGTCACTGATCCAGTGAAGATATTAGAGGTTGAGATTTATATATATTATTAACAGGTACTATGATCAGTGTTACAGAAAGTAAAACTCGGTGAAATTACAATAAAAATACTTTTATTTTTAACACTTTTGAAGTCTGAAATATATTAAAAACTGATCCTTAAGGTTTTAAGTATTAATGAAAGGCTAAACTCTGAGCATGTATTCAATTATTCCCTTAGCAAATAATGTGCTCTTTCCTGGACATGAGTAAATACAGTGCAGACAGGAAGGTTGACACTTCACCCAAGTACAGTACAATGGGAATCTTTACAAATGTCCCATCTGGTTACACCGGGACAAGACAATGCAGATGACTGTCCAGCCAAGACTGACCTCCAGAAGGCATATTCAATTATCAAATGAATATGCCCACCATTGATTTCCACCAATGGTGGTAAAAGCCCATCATTGGTGGAAATTAATGCCTTTACACCACATGAAGATGACTAGAAACAAAACCCCAACCCGTAAAACTGCTGTTGTAGAACCCAGTAAGGGCACTGACAATCTCCAAGTAATCAAAACCCCAAAAAGCCTTCAGAAGAAACCTGTGACCTAAGGTAATGGTGGGATGCCTTTAGACAGACCTAGCACAGGATACTTGAAGCAAGCACAATTTAATTGGCCAAGGTATTGCTTAAGATCCTAACAAGATACAGCGCTTCTCAAGAACCAGATAGAGATGGGAAGCCAATTCAGTGCCACCTCCTTTAAAGATATGGAAGCTATCCTGGCATCCAAGACAAGACCCAGCTATGTCAGACAAGGTACTAGTTAAAATGGGAATTTAGCTTACTCAACAGCAGGCAAAACCCATAACTTGATAATGACCAATATGCATAACATTAAGACCTAAGCTCAAACACAATCACCACCCACTTCCAGCATACCTTATAGGACCCCACCATAGGATGAAAGACCAAAGAAATGTAGAAGGCAAAATAATAGGCTGTCAAAGTAAAAAAAAGATAAAAAAAAAGGAGAGAGAGAAAAATGGAAGTACTGTACAATACCCTGCAAAATGTTTTGGCTTAGGTACTCTTGTACTTTACCCTTCATGTCAAAGATTCCTGCTATACCAAGGCAAAAGGTCAATCTGTTCAGCTATACAGTATTTAATCCTGTTCTGGGAAGAGCAGGACATTACAGAGGAAGCAACAGTCATCCAGCTCAGAAACTTCAGAAATTAATCTACTTCGTAGAAATACTGTATTTCATAATTATTTAATATAAATTTACAGTATGCATCATTTTTAATGAATTACAAATGACATTAAAGGGTATGAACAGCAAAAGATGCACTTTGTATGGACATTGAGCTAGTATTGTATTTAGAAATATATTCGGAAATGTGTACATTTATAATACAAAATTATACTTTAAAAAGGAGCCACATTGATAAAAACAAATATCAAATTATATCTTATACCTATCAATAAATAGTCAGATCTTTATTTTAATCCAGTGAGTTGCTTCCTGCTCTGTAGCAAAGCTGCCTCGGCAAATCAGCCACCAAATATACTGGCCAAGGTGGACCATTTATATACTGTGTTTTAAATATACAAACACACACTTTGTCTATTGTATGCAGTTGTCCTTTTAACCATACTCTAGATGTCTAGAATGCCTTGGTTCTCATACTCAGCAGTCCTTATCATGATATGAATATTGCAACATGTCCACACAACCTAAAAATACTATATTTCTTATCATTTTGCATTACAACGTACACAAATCATTTCATAAGCATTAACATGACCTTGCAGAGCACAGTTCATTTGCTGGTAATGTCCTGTACTGTATTTAGAAAAATGTATTTTACTTTATTGTTACATCACACAAAAATACATATCATAATGTATTACTTTCCACATGTGGCAAACAAATGAAATAATCTATGTAACCATATAAATTCTCAGCCCAAATTACAAGCCAGAAAAATATAATATTCCATGAGCTAAACTCTTCTCCCTGTCAACTGTATGTTGCAGACACAGTTGACAGGGAGATTACAGATTTAATCTGCGATCTGTGATCTTTAATTAAAGATCTGTCATATTTGATCAAGATCAGTCTTGATTAAAAATTTAAGTTTGCAGCTAGGCTAGCCCTTAAAACATGATTAATCACCTTCATATAAACACAGGGTTTAGTTGTCTCATGAAACCAGTTTCAAAAATAAATAAATAATGCAATGCAGGGTGGCGCGATAAGTGAGGAATGCAGTGAGGGTGTGAAATGAGGTGCAATGGGTGAGGAATGCAGTGAGGGGTGAGAAATATGGTGCAATGGGTGAAAAATGTAGTGCGAATGGTAAGGAACGCGATGAAGTCAGAAATGCAGTGTAGTTATCTTGGTTATCTTGAGATGATTTTGGGGCTTAGCGGCCCCACAGCCTGGTCCTCGACCAGGCCTCCTTTTTGTTACACCCCCCCCCCCCATAAAGCAGCCCGTAGCAGCTGTCTAACTCCCAGGTACCTATTTACTGCTAGGTAAAAGGGGCATCAGGGTGAAAGAAACTCTGCCCATTTGTTTCCGCCTCCACCGAGATCAAACCCGAAACCTCAGGACTACAAATACGAAGTGCTGTCCACTCTGCTATCAGACCCATGATAGCAATGGGTGAGGAATGCAGTGAGGGGTGAGAAATGTGGTGAGAGTGAGGAATGTGAGGTGCAGTGGGTGAGGAATGTGAGGTGCAGTGGGTGAGGAATGTGGTGGGGCGGGTGAGGAATGTGAGGGGGCGAGTGAGGAATGCAAGGTGCAGTGGATGAGGAATGTGAGATGCAGTGAGTAAGGAATGTGGTGGGGCGGGTGAGGAATGCGATATGATAAGTAATAAGTCCATATTAAGAATAACAGGTGGAAGGCACAAATTTTATAATTGCAATTTATTGTCAAGCACCTAAAGAAGATACCTAATATAATATAAAATCTAAGGATAGACTGTTTTTAAAATTGTAAGCATCGGCTCTGTTCTTCTAGTTTTCTTATGTCAAAGTAACTAAGAATTTAAAAACTTTTTGTTTTAAAATATTTTAGTGATTAACCTTCCCTTTTAGGCTTTATATAGAGAAAATGTTTACAATAGGTAAACAATTATGAATATCATAACAAATTTGGCAATGCTTTTAACCTGTATTTTCCAAAATTGGCACAAAACATCATCATAGGTTAAAGCACTGAATATATTTTGCCCTAGATTTACCATGTCAACATTTTTAGTTCAGCTACCATACATATAATTAATTTTAATGTTTGAATTTCAACCATGGGACACATACTGGACCTGGTTAGTTTATTCAGCACTATGTTATACCCAGAATATAATCCACCAATAGTTTTACATTCAAGTTTCCAATTACAGTAGTCGAGTGACAAAGGGGGCAATCGTTCTACCCTGTGCTGGGTTTAAACCCAAATCACTCTCACTTGCAAAGTGAGAGGATGAGGGCATTAGCCACTACACCAAAGGGTGATGCTTTCTGTCAATATTTTAGTTTGCTGTCTGATCATTATTCTCCACTACAATGTACAAGTGAGAGTCTTGTGCTTGTGCATCTGACAACATTATATACATCTGTGAAGCTCTACTACTGTTCATTATTTCAATGCTCTCTGGTTTTACAGACTCTGTTGATTGTTCGTCACTTTTTAACACCATAAATTCTTGTGGAACATTATCAGTTTCTTCCGAGCAGAATGAACCAGGAAAAACTTTAATGCTCTGATGCAACTTTGACTCTTCTTTACATTCTCCTACATTCACTACATCTCCATTTGTTTCTTGCAATTCTGTTGTAGACATGTCACTATCCATACAAGACCTATCATTACACATAACTGCATCTTTTGAAATTCCTCCCTCCTCCAGGTGAGTGATAGCCAATACAACGGAGTCTTTACTGCAATGTTTCTCTGCAATGATTTTAGAGACAATTGGCTCAGACTGATCAACAAGGTCAGGTAAGGTTTGAGTATACGAGTCAACATATTCATAATTTACTGGATCAACAGTTGCAGCCATAGCCTGCTCCAAAACATCTAAAGAACCACGACTAACTTTAGGAGAGGTATAGACTCCAAGTTCTTCCCTAACTATTGTTCTTTTCAATTTGATCTGCTTCAGTCTATTTGCTTCCTCTTTGGGATGGGACTTCTTGCGATGGTGTCGTAATGCACTGTGATTTCGAAAAGCATTTCCACAGTACACACACTTAATTGGCATTTCACCACTGTGTAATTTCCGGTGTGCTGTATAATGATGCCGTAAACTAAAACTGTTGCCACAAACTTCACACACAAAATTCTTGGCTCCAGTGTGTTTCACCATGTGCTGCTTTAATGTACCACCATTTCTGAAGTCCTTACCACATGTAGAACACTTATATGGCTTCTCTCCACTATGAATTCTAAGATGCCTCTTGTATGAACTATTGACAGTGAACTCTTGCCCACACACTTCACATTTATAATGCTTCTCTCCTGTATGAATAACACTATGTTTTCTAAGATCTGCTTGTCGACGAGTACTATAAATGCAGAAGTTACAAGCATACACTTTTGCTTTGTCTATCTCATGACTATCTACATGGTAACGAAAACCTCCTGATGAATTGAATTTTTTTCCACAGTATTCACATATAAATTTGCAATCATTAATACCATTCTTATAAAAGTTCTTAGGGTTCCCTTTACAATTGACTGAAATTGCATTTTTTACCATGCTAAAAACGTTTTTTGATTTTTTATCGATATCAAGAGAAACTATATCACTTGCAATACTTTCTCTTGCCTTTTCTGTGAGCTTTCTTTTACGTTTTCCTAAAGAGGGTTGACTAGAAATCCCTGCAAATAAATCAGCCAAAGTCTTTCTGTCCTGTCTGCCAGACGATACTCCAGAGATGTCTTGCACATTTTGATACTTGCTGTCGAGTTTCGGTGGCTTTGAAAATATCTCGGTACTATTGTGGGCTTCGGCCATTTTTACATCTGTATCTACGTGCTTTAAGCCTTCAGTCTCCCTATAATATATACAATCGGACACAGAATTTTTAGGCATGGAGCCACCTGAATTTTGACCTAAGAGAAGCGATTCACTAACAACTATATACGAATCCTCTAAGTCTGTTTGTACATCATCTTTATCTGTTGAGCATGCAATACTCTCTGTACCTGAAAATGTGTTATCTACATCTGCCAGTCCTGACATTGTACTAGAAGCTGAAGGAAAGTGAAGAAACTCATTGTTTGTGATAGAAGTATTAATATTTACTGTAAAATCTGAACATAATGTTTCCTTGCTCTCTGCCATATCAGAGATAAAGGAAGGTTTGAATAGAGAATTGCCAATATTTACAGCTTCACTATCTGTTTTCCCTAAAAGGTTTCTTTGAACACAAGTTCCTTCCTTTTTATTTTGCTCGTATTCAAGGCCCTCAACACCTACAATTCCATTAAGTATATTTCTTGTGCAAGTATTTTTATAACCATTTTCAATGTACGTTTCCTCTTTAACAGGAACAAGTCCAATCTCATCTGTTGATATACTTTGAAAACTTGGTAAATTGCGGGTTATACCAGTATCTTTATCAAAATTCTGGTTTTCCAAAGTACCCAATACTACAGAGAGTGGTTCATTCTTTTTTAGGTCATTTTCATTTCCATACTGAACCTCACATTTGTCACTGGTCACACCGCTTTTAATAGTAAATTTGGCATATCTCGAGCCTTGACTAACAACATGCATATTACCCTGATTCAGGTGATTCTGCACTTTCAAATCCCATATACAACATTTATCACCAATGAATTCTAAGTTAATATTATAGCCCCATGGTATAAATGTACCATAACAAACCAAACAAGTCTCACAATACTGATAAAGAACTTCAGCATTTTTTTCATTACAAAGACAGCATTCATAGAACTCGCAGTGAGAACAATCAGCACAGCCTGTGTCAATGTGGTCCTCACGTTTGTCAGTGACAAGTGTGCTAGTAGTACTCCGGGGAACTGTCTTCACCCAATGTGGTGACATTCGACTGAACATAGAATCAAAGCTGTCTGTTACATCAACCGGATCATATTTCATTTGCTCCTCTTTGTCATTACTGTTAAATCTTTGAGTTTTCAAAAAGTTTACATAAGAATCACTGATTATATCACTCTTCGTGACAGGCTGAGGGCTTCCACTTGTTACTTTCATTTGCGAAATATTATTGATTTCAATATCATCCTGGTATGAACAAGGCTGGTGTGACTTTGATGGCAGTACATCTTTGATTACATCTTGTCCAGAAACTCCCTGGCCCTGAAAGTAGAGGGGCCTTATGAATAACACAAGATAAACATGAAAATTTATTATTGACATACCTATACTGTACCATCAAAGTCACATTTCCTTTCATAGAATATATATATATATATATTATTTTGTTGTTAGCCAGAAAAACTGGAACATTATTCTTAACACACATTGTAAACTCAGTATCACTTGGTAGGACAGCGAATTTACAAAAAATTATAACAATAAAAATTAAGATACTGTATTTACAAAAAAGGAATTTATGAATTGCATTTGAAATAGAAAAGATTACAACAGAGTAACCTTTAACATGAGGGGGACTGAAAAAAGTACATATAGACTGGCATATCTCAGATATGAACAGGATGGTGTTCAGCACATTAGGTAAAGAGGGTACTGTTATGAATAAAGGCAGTACAATGAGTTCATGGAGTATGTGTGTGGAAGCATAATGAATACAAGCTGATGCCATGAGCTGAGTGAATATAATGATCATGGGATGGCAGTTGTGTCTTTAGTGGAGGATGTGAAGGAGGGTGGTGGAGGAGTCTATGAAAGTGGTTGGTGGTGGTGGTGGTGGTGGTTGAGGAGGAAGGTGGTGCCCACCTGTCACTAACCACAAGGTAGTTTAAGCTAGTTCTTTATGACCTACCTACCTACCTTTTCTCTACCTAGCATGTTTTTTCCATCTATATTTTATTTCTGCATTCTATCAACCTTTAGCCATTAGTCAACAACCCTCCCAGTCTTTCATTACCAATTAGTTAACATTATCGCGCTCCCCACGAGAGCGCCGCAGACTTTGATGTCATGGGGCCAATGGTGCGGGCGAGCGTGCGGCAACGCCTAAATGTGTTTCAGTTTTCTCACCTTAATTCTTGTGCTACATCGTTTGTTTTGGTATCATTGTGTTCGCAATTAAATTCCCTGCAGATGTATATGCATATAATGTCCAAAAGCCTGGCGAGACTCCCCACAGCAAAGCCTAAAGCCTAAAAATATGTAAGGGCCTGGGAAGCAGGCTTACATATTTTTTCCTCAAGGAGTGAGAAGAATGGAGGCTGTTAGGGTAGTATGACATGGAGACTTTTTCTATCATGGCCAAGTTGTCAAAGAAAGTTTCTGCTGGATATGACACACTTAACAACAAATTACACAAGATTTCCTTACCTCGGCATCATTATCACTACAGATATCATGTCCATCTGCAGGTTGTGGTGTTGCTCTTCCCCTCCCACGACCACGCCCCCTACCTCGACCAATGTCATCTGATCGTCCTTTCCATCCTCTTCCTCTTCCTCGTTTTCGGGCAGTTGTTTGTGACATTTGAATACAGCGAAGGCATCGTGGCTTCAGCATCTGTATTGAAAAATATTTAGTTATTACAGTTTCCATGGCAATGAAATATTGTAGAGTGGAAAAGGCTATTAAAAACAACCTAATCTGAGAATGTACAACTTGATTAGATTATACAATACTAAGCATAGGGATGTATTATATAATACAGGGATGTATTATACTTTAAATAATATTGAATTTCATTATTACTGGGTGGAAGTAGACACTGAAGATGAAAATCCCTGAAAACTGAATCTCACATATGCTAGAAGAATGTCAGAAACCTTAAGTCAAGTATTGTAATTAAAAATAATGGGAAGAGGTGCCCAGTGCCGACAATACAGATAGAACACCAAACTCGTATGAGACACATCTAGACAGTACTGTACTGTATAAGGCTAACAAGCAAGAAATGCAGTACTTATCATAAGAAATAGTGCATGCACATTTGAATCCTTTTTCTTCAGAAGACAATACAATACCTTGTCTGTTCTAGGATATTTTAGCTTAAGTCTCTGAATGGTTTCCAAAAATTTAGTGCGGACATCAGTCTTGGACTCTGTTAGTGTCTGCTGCAGCTCATCTATGATATCAAGCAAATGATAACATGCCTTGCACACAACCTAACAGAAAAAAAGTAATATGAACATTTGGCATATAATACACATATCCCACTTGTTATACCTGTATTTGACATTCGCATAAGAAAAGAACTATGAACCCACGTTAAAAATATATATATATATATATACAGTACATATATACATTACAGAATGTACATATATGTGTGTGTGTGCTCGCGGTGTATATACAGGTATATCATTTATAATACTGTACCTGACTTTTAATAATCAGTTGTAAATCATTTATTGGTGAAATTCAAAAATGGTTAAACCATAAAATACACACATGAAGAACCAAATCTTAATGCCAGTACAGTCTACAACTGAATTATGAAAATTCTGTCAAGACCTCATAGCAAATCTGACCTGCGAGTGGAGTCTGCCGTCCTCTAGTTTATATCCGAGGACATCAGTAAGTAGCACCAGGAGTGGAGCATGCGAATGATTCATGGAGGCTTTGATCGACTCAAAATTTTTGTCAGACACAGGGTTACAGCATACAAAACACAGCCGGTTTCTTTCAATTTCTTCATGATGTGAACCTTCGCCCTGCAGACAAATAGTACAAGTTACTACAAATATCTTGCTGGTAAACTATATGGCAAGGGGTTTTTGTTAGGAGCTTAGATGACAAACTCAAGATATATTTTAATAACAACAATGAGGGAATATTAATTATAAGGATTACAACAAAGGAAAACAACAGCAAGAGCTTTTTCATACTACTATCTGCACTATGGGAAATTTATACTTATTTACACTAAGAATATAAAAAATATCCAAGAAAGTTTTAAGAAGTCCAGTGGTGTTGTGCACTGAACAACTATGGCACCACTGACACATCAGGGATGTGTCTACGTGTTTACGTGAGAGTGCCGAGCAAACGGAGGAATATCGAACATGAACACAGCGTTCGAGTTGGGAGCTGTTCGAGTACCGAAGTTCCACTTTACCAGTGGATTTAATAATCATCATCTACCAAGATTAACTATTCTTGAGAGAACAAACATTACTGCTGTACTTTATACACATACAAGATCAAGAGTGGAACCATCAAATATTCAGCTTGTGATGCTGAAATACTACACCTCAACATTTTCAATTATGACAATCCAAATTACCCCATTACAAATTTGCATTAATTGAATGGGAATTAACAATTTCTAGACAGATATTATAATTCACAATTTATAGGTTATAATATAAACCAAATACAGTACAGTATTTAAATTCTACAAGTCATTATCAAATAAAGAACTGTAAAGAACTTAGAAAATATAATAATCCACTATCATATCTCTGTACTGTGCTTATAGTATTGAATGTATGTCATGGGTGCTCAACTGTGTATTATAATACACCATTAAAAGTAGTATCTCACCCTCTCAAGTTGAATTTTTAGAAATTACATAATACTATACTGTACTGTAAATGATTTGTAGATCACTTATGGTAAGTTCTTCGAGTTTAGGCACATCTTAATTTTGTATCCAATGCTGGATTTTCAAGTCTTGAGGCACGTGCCAGGTGGAGATACAAAGAGCGGGCATTCCTGCCCATCACTAACCTGCCCTAAGAAACACTAGTAGTAGACACCCAACAATAAGACAAACATGGTATATACCTGATTTTCAATAATGCTTCCAGTCTGCATGAAGGAAGCTGCTGAAGCCCCAAGTGGGCCATCTTCATTGCCATCTGTTGTAACAAAGGAACTGCCTGCTGTATTGATCATCCCCTGGGGGTGAGTGGGTGGCGGTGAGAAACCTTCGTACACAACTTCTGGCGAATCATTCGCACTATCATCCCACTTCTCTGCCATCTGCTAAAAGTAAATGTAGTAAATAAAATAAACTGGCTTCCTAAATATACTATAATTATAAATACATAACTAGCCTATAAACTTCATACTGCAGATGACATTATAGCTATAACTGATAATCCTAGGACTCTAGATTGAGATACAGTACTGTATGAAAAAAAAAAATGATGTATGTACCTGTATTGAAAACATCTCCATACAATACACCAACTGTAACACCTGCAATAAAGAAATGTACAATTTTAAGCCTAGTATTAAACCCAAACTTCAGTTATTTCAATGTTTCTCATGGTTGCATAGATCTTTGTTTTGTCTCCAATGGTGTGTGGGTGGATAATGTGCTTGTAACTTGGTCAGTCAGGTAATGCATTACAACAATAATTATATTCAGTAATCAAATAGGACAGCTCTCTGTGCAACTTTATCAAACAGATCTACAATCCTTAGGATTGGCATGGGGTTAATTACTCTGAAAATTCTCTGAATACCCCGAGGTACCCTGAGCTTCTGTAATTACCCAAGTATAGTTACAGGATGAGAGCCACGCTCGTGGTGTCCCGTCTTCCCAGTACTCTTTGTCGTTTAACACTTTGAAATCTGTGTTAAGGATTGGATATTCAAAGATTTGCATAACAATCTGCAGGATACTTTGATAGGGTGAATTAATGTTTAGTACAAGTACTACATAATTAAAATATATTATTGTATACTCTACTAAAACAAATCTTTTAACATCTCGTGAAGAACTATTTATTCCTGGAAATCAAAACTGGGAACAATTAGCCCAGAGCCATTTGAGCCAACCACGTCCAATAGCAACATCATGACTATTGTTGCCATTACCAATTAGTTTAGTGTGCATCACATACTCATCCTGTGAGTATGAATTACAGAAGTCTTCATCAGAGCCCGAAATGCTTTACATAATAGTGGGCTGATTAGTTTGGGAAACTCTTGTCCCTACAATTGTACATTACTCTTAAGTTCTCTGTACACACTATTTTGAATACAAAAATTATTATTATTAAGTAATGGTAATGTCATATCACAGGCATAACAACATTGGGTAAAAACCCACACTTACGTATTTGTGAATACTTTTTATGTAAAGATTTGCACCAAGTCTATCGCACTCTCTCAAGTGCTTTATCAAGGCCCGAGTACGTGGTTAGGACAAGACTTAAATCTACCCGACTATTGCCCTAGTCTATACCAACGACTAAGGCATTAGTCGCCGAGATGCAAGTCTCGTCCTAACCACACACGTCCTAACCTTGACAAAGCACTCAGAAGTGTGAAAGATTTACACAATCTTTACATAAAATTCACAAATACATAAGTGTGGGTTATCGTGTTATTATCATTACTTATTTTTTTATGTACAAGAAGGTACGATGGGATCTGAACATATACACATTAGTGATTAAGTGGTTTTGCAAGAATATATTTGGGCAGGTCTTTAAGTAAGTAATTATCATATCAAGAGACGGCATCAAGTCAGGGAGACTATGTAGCACACCTTAAGCTAACCAATAAATGCAAAGAATGTAAACATTTTAATTCACATAATTACTTCGGCAAAAATTTATAAAATAAATTATATAAATTATATTGATGAAGTTGTATATCTATATTGTAATATACTGGACAAGTGGATAGTACAAGATGCTGTGAGCACATGGTAGGATACTATAAAGAAGAAATTAGGTACTTCATTGTTCTACTTTTGTAGAAAGTACTGTATAGGGTGGACAATTTGTTAATTTATTAAGAGAACAAGTTCCATATACAGTACTGTACTGTATTGGGTCCTTTTATTTGCATGACATGTTTGCAAAGATTATTCTGACTCTGGGAATATCAAAGAAACTATTTAGTTCTGGTGTGATACTTTACAAGTAGATATTCCTTTAGAGAGGTCCCTCGCAACCCCAGGGCCCGCAGAGGTCCCTCGCAACCCCAGGGCCCGCAGAGGTCCCTCGCAACCCCAGGGCCCGCAGAGGTCCCTCGCAACCCCAGGGCCCGCAGAGGTCCCTCGCAAACCCAGGGCCCGCAGAGGTCCCTCGCAACCCCAGGGCCCGCAGAGGTCCCTCGCAACCCCCGGGCCCACAGAGGTCCCTCGCAACCCCAGGGCCCACAGAGGTCCCTCGCAACCCCTGGGCACACAGAGGTCCCTCACCCTATTGTGTCAGTAACGAGAGCAGTCAAGTCTACCACCCACAGGGGGGCCCTCACACCACAGGTGTCACCGACCACAGCAGACCCATTAGCAGACCAGTACCCCTGGGGCCCCTGCCACAGGCCTCCAGAGGGCCCCTCACAGCACCAGGGACACCCACCTAAACAAGACACAGGCAGAGCGGTTAGGATAACAGCGCTCAAGGCAAAACCTCACACGATCCCTCCCATATTGTTTACAAAGATGGCGGCTCTCTCACACCCGCCAAATTTTAAATACTACTACTAATGATTTAATTCGTTTCCTTAGGGAGAGGAAGCTTTTGTATATACATATAGGGAGAGGAAGCTTTTGTATATACATATAGGGAGAGGAAGCTTTTGTATATACATATACTTTAGGTTTGTATCAAGGTTACCCCCCAAAGTTGAACTATTGACCCCCTCCCCAGAATACAACCCCACAACAATTGCCTAGGTTCCGGGTACCTATTTACTGCTTTCATTTATTTATCAATTAATTTATTTATATACAAGAAGGTACATTGGGTTTGCATGGTAAACACCATGCTATGTATCCAAATAGCATGGTATTTACAATCTTGTAAAGCCACTAGTACGCCCAGCGTTTCGGGCAGGTCCTTAATCTAACATAATTTTAAGTAGGTAAATTCTAGCAGAATTTATAAAATGATAACAGGTACATTGCAAGAAAAAAATATGAGATGGGAAAGATTAGTAGGTATATTGAAGCACATCGGTAGCTCTGATTAATTGCACTGACAGCTTGAGTGGTAATTTAACAGATTAATAGGCACAATACAGCATATTGATAGCACATAAGGAGACAGCAATGATCACAGTGGTAAAGTTGTTTGAATTAGGTACATAGAGATTGGGTAGTACTAGGTACAGTGCAATTTTAAAGCACAAGGTAGGAAACTATGGAGAGGAAATTAGGTACTTTTAGTTTTGTTTTTGAATGAGGCAAGAGTTGGACAGTTTTCCAATTCATTAGGAAGCGAGTTCCATAGACTGGGTCCCTTTATTTGCATGGTGTTTGCACAGATTAAGTTTGACTCTGGGGATATCAAAGACTTATTTCTGGTGTGGTGATAATGGGTCCTATTACATCTGTCCAGGGAGAGTTTCAGAGCAGAGACTAAGACTTGTCAGGGTTCCTTAGTCCTTCCTATCCTACACTACAAACTTGCCAGCGACTTCTCTACAGACTTGCCGCAAAATTCTTCCCATCTTCCCATTTGCTTTCTTCGAGCTCTAAATGCAACCCGTCCTTAGACCAAGTGGTCGACCCAAAAAGACGCATTCATCAATTTTAACATTCAAACTAGTTATTCTCAAGATTGATTTATGAAGATTAAGCCACCCAAAAGGTGGCACGGGCAGGAATAGCCCGTAAGTGGTGGCCCTTTTGAGCCATTACCAGTATTAAGAGCTGATAGTGGAGATCTGTGGAGGTGCGGCTGCACCCTGCGTGACGGGAGATGTCTCCTGTCAGGAATTCTCAATAAAGTAATATCGTTATATATTACCATACTGTGCATATTTAGGCATTGGTTAGGTGTTTAGGTTTTGTTGCCGATTATTTGTAGTACGTGGGTGAAGTATTTACAGCGCTGTGGTTCAAACAAAAGTCGTCAGCAGAGCACTTTCTCCGGAAGTCGTGTGTAAACCTTTTTTTTCTTTCGTGAACAGGGGGGTTTGCGGGTGCATGGAATGGACTTTGGACCTTTGTTTATGAGGACGGGCTGCTAAACGTAATGGTCACAAATTTGGAATATTCTGACGGAATTCCTATCTACCCCATTTCAAATTCCAGTCAAGAGATTCGACTTTACCGGTCAGTTTAGGTCAAAACTAGGTCAGTATTTTCCACCCTGGATTGTTCACAAGTAACTTGTGCTTCAGGAATACGGGTATTCCCAATGTTGCGAACGTTTAGTAAACTACATCCAATCTCCCCACCAAGAGAGAGGTGGATCAATGTAATTCTAATAAAATCTATTTGTCCTATTTGCAACACTGCGAGCTATTTACACTCCTATCGAAGCGTTACGTGTTCGGTATTATAGGACCTACGAAAAACCTAGCATTTCCAGAAAATGCATTATTTAGATATTGGTCAACATTAACGCTTTCCAGGTCTATTTAATTTGAGCTTTCTTCTTAGCGTTAGACTGCCTTACAGTCCCTGTCGTCCGTTTCACCATTACACTTTATAAAGGGAAGCTGAAGAGACTAATTCACTCTTAGTCAAGACAAACTACTTCACGTGTTCGAGGCAAAAAGATACTGTATATCTAAAATACACAGTTCGAGGTTAATCTGTTAACCTCCAAACAAAGACCCAAAAGCGATTCCATGCACCCGCCTAACCCCTGTTTATGAATGAAAACTTTTACACACAACTGATTCGGACACTTCCGGAACAAATGCTTCACCGACAAATTTTGTTCGAACTACAAAGTTGTAAAAGCTTCACACGTACTACAAATGCAGATAATCTCCAACGAAACCTAAACACCTAACCTATGCATATGTACGCTATTATAACAAGAAAATTCCAGTTTTGAATGAACAGCATGTAAGAATTTATGAACGAGTCTGGGGTCGACCGCTGGATGTAGTGGACTTCACAGAGATCACACTAACGTGATGCATCAAATGAACAAATCCACAAGGTTTCGAGGTTCGAATCTTCGTCGCGGCCCTTGTGGATTTGTTCAAGGGACTTTAGTCGAGGACGGGTTGAAATACAAGTGAATAATTGCCTTAACAGCACAGGACCAAAAATAAGTCTTTCGATCTTTAGGAAAATAAGGCTCTAGAATCTAGTTGCCAAATTCATTTTATTTAAATTGTCCATTATGTAAAATTTCAAAAATTTAAGAACTCATTGAAGTAAAAAAATTAAAAGTTTTTTTTAAACTAAAAAAGGCAAATTAAAAAAAATAAAAATACAGCAGACCCCTATACAGCAGAGAGGCCCTATTGCAAATTATTCTTTCGTCATCTCTTCAATGTCATGGTTGAGTTCCAACACCTGCTTGACGAGATCTTCGTCTAGTAGAAGGCGCGCCAGAGTCACGAGGCTACTGCGAAGGTCGGATGATGGCCTGCCCGTCTGATCTGCGATGGCTGCTAATGCTTCTTCAACTTCACTCTGCTCATCATTGACCAAGAAGTAACTTAAGGGCCGTTTTACATGTCTCACAAGTCCATTGACTTTGTGGAAAAATGTGACCGATGTGTTGTAAGAAGTCCGCGTGGGGAAGTAGAGTCCACAGATAAGATTACCTTGGGCGTCACGCCCCAGTAGAGACTTGAACGGCTCTACAAGGTTGCGACGTTCAGCAATGTCTACAGTAGACAGGAATGGTCTAGAGACGTGAATTACACTTGTGGTACATTTGTTGGGCTTTCCTTCCCTCTCCTCTACCATACGCCACGACACAAAAGCGTAATTATCCTGCCAAAAGCTGTATTGGAATGTACGGTGAACGTCCGAACGTGCAGAGCAGCCTTTAATGGGGCCAGACTGCGGCGAGAGGCCATCCTCCATGACGGTGATGGGCTCTCCGACATGATAGCCTGGGTCGAAGAGCAGCACGCCCGCACGACCCGCGACACGGATCCTCACGCATAACAATACGTGTTCCTTGAGGCACCGTGCCACCACAGGTTCCTTCAGTGACGAGAAGGACTCCAATTCTGTAACTTCTTCCTCGCATGATACCTGTATGAAGAAAACGGAAATTTATATAAAACTACTTTGAAAAATATGTTCTTACCCTGCATTTTCACCCCCACCCCCAAACCCACAAACCTTTATCCCACTACCCGTATATTAACTATCTCCCACTATTACGGACTCACCATAACCCGTGCTACATGGACATTTCATTCCGAGTAGCTAAAAACAATATATTACACTACTTCATAATGAACATGGACGGACCGAAACCGTTGTTCATTTTCTCAAGTGAGGTTTAACTATAAATTACAGTACTTACCGGATACGTTGCATCCTTGAGGCCTGGATAATGTGCTTCCAGCACAGATAGTCTAGTGGCGAGGTCTGAAGAGAGTCCAACACACGTGTACCTGCCAGTCAGTACAGGGGGATCGTAGTCACGGTAGAACTCTAGCAACGCCGGATAGTCTTCTCTCGAGGATAGATAACTTTTCCCAAAACTAGAAAAACAATAGGGTGAACAAAATTTTTATTTTATATACACCATATTTTTTTTTCCTCTTTAACAACTTAAAAGCTAGAGAGTAGTTAGTTTAGTTCATTTATTATGCACCCCATACACATTTGTGGGCGGTAGTAGAAAGGGTTACAGAGGCACATAATGTGCCTCTAATGGGGTTCAGGGACTGAACCCCATAAAGCTTTAACAGGGACTGAACCCCACAATTCATTTAGCCAAGCAACTTACGCAATGAAGTTAGAAATGGTGTCATATGGGAGAGAGGCGAGGGCTCTGCGGAGATGGTAGCCGACGCGCACCAAGAAAATCTTGTACTGCTGTTGACAGTTGAAAGTTACTTCGGGACGTCCGCATCCCCACTCCGGCAAGGGTAGAGGGCGATCTACTGGCCACTCGTCTTCATTCCACACGCTGTCATCGTCGCTGTCTTCGTCAGCAGCAAGGGAGGCGTTTAGTGCTGCTCGTTCGCCGAGGCTAATTTCTGAAGTACTGACGCCACTGTGATAGCCGGATGACGCTGACGTCCGCCAGTCACTACCCGTCTGCAGGTCTCTCACTTCGCAGCGGTACTCTCTGTCGCTAAAAGCGCGAGAAATATTTACACAAGGGAAAAATCAATTATATTTATAATATATACATCAGTTTCCGCAATACTAGACAAGGTACTGTACTACAAAATGAGAAGGTTCGTTGTAACCCGATAGTGCTTACCTAGTTTCGCTGCAAGAGTCTTGTGATTCGGGACCAGAAGTTTCCGAGATAATCGAGGCAAAAGTTGAACCGACTTTATGTCGGGAACACAATGGGTGCTTCCGGTCGAGTCAACTGGGCCACGTGTTGCCGAGTCTAGTGTAGTGATCAACGGGAGGCACGGCTGCCCCCGTACTTGGTGACGGGGAGGCCATCTCTAGGGGTCTGCTGCCGTGACCAGTTTTGATGCTACTGCCAAGTAACATGCTCGCTGGAATATAAAAATGCACATTTTAGCTTACTCTCAAGTAGTATCTATAGGTAATGTTTCAACAAATTTAAAGGGTGCGTCATTCTTATGGCTAAGGAACTTTTGTTAGTAGAACCGGCAAATTTCTTGCCAATTCTACTCGATACCTACAATATTAGCCGTCTTCCAGCGTCTGAAAGAACCTTGGGTCTATCCTACCCAAGTTATGTTGGGGGAAGGGGGGGGGGGGGTTGAAAGGCCCAAGTGCTTTAAGGCACTTCTGGTCCCATGCCTGCGAGATTTTTACCAAATTTTGACAAGACGCGTTGCCTGTCGCGTTTTGAAGGTTCTCGTCCATTTTTAAGACTAGTGGATGTGTATCAGCGGTTGGAGGGCGAGGAACGTGGAGGGATATGGGTGTAGGATATTACATATATTAGTCAGTCAGCAACTGTACTCTAGGTACAAGTAAACTATAGTCAGTCGCTACGGGTACACATTATCTTTGTAGTTCCCCTTTAAAACTAATTTTTTTATCCAGCAGGTTCTGTGAAAACTGGTAAAGTTTGATAAACTGGCTGTCAGATGACGGGGCTTCCGATAGAATACAGTATACAGACTCCGCCTTCCCCCCCCCCCCCCCCCACACACACATTTCGTCACGTATCAAGTTATGCAACCATCAAACAGTTTCACGAGTAATGGTTACCATTACAACACTTTGGTAAAATATTCCACCCAACTAGTGTAAAGATTTGTTGGAAATTCTGTTACCGTCGCAAGAACCTAATTCGGGAACTTCAAATAGTGCAAGTTTGTTACAAATTATTAATAGAGGTAAAAATTTAAGCACAAGGTAGGTTGAATAGGAGGAGGAAAGTTGGGAGAGGGGTTAAAGAGGGAGAAATGCCGACTAGAACACTAATCAGACGGGGTGGGAAAGAATTATTTGTTCTATCCCTTGAACAAGGGATGGAACCTTTCAGTAAAGGATATTACGGTACTTCAGATTTAGTTCAAGGGCGTTGAGGGGAGGGGGATGGGGGGGGGGGGGCGCAGGTAAGGCCACAGCCAGGGTGGCTTCCGGTGAAGTTGAACAGTTATTTCCAGATTAAGTTCACCGCCGAGGTTATCAAGGCCATTAACATTTCCTTTATAACCCGCAAGATCACAAACATTAAACAAAAAGTCCACGATTAAGTAAGTAAATAACCACACGTTAACACTTGAGAAGTCAAGACACTGTTACACAACGCCGTGATATGAACTTTCCAAATGTGGCAATAGTTAATCCGCAGCGAACCACTTCCCGCCACTGCGCTACTCACCCATGGATGACGCCGCAGGTAGTGAGTGAGTAATGGCGTCGCCAGCCGGCCTTATATACCCGCGCCCTCACCACCGCCTCACGCGTTGCCACCTACATTTGAAGACCTGAATACATTTGTTCATTTGATATATCACTTTATTGTGACTTCTGTGTGTATTTGTTATTGTTTAAACTGGTTTTGTTTGGTGATGGGCGTAAAGCCTATCAACCAAGAGCGGGTAGCTTTTAGCTTTATATACTTTATAAGTAGCTTTATATACTTGTAAAGTATACTTTAGTTCTAAGCATAGTCCGAGAACTGGCATAAACCTCTTGAAGAAATAATGTGCTATCTAGGTGTACTTAAGTTACCTGTAGGGGATGATAGCTCATACACTCTCAAAAGTCTTTACTTAATCTTATATCAAATTACCTAACTTTATACACATAATTTTACTGAAGCGTTTTTACGTGAAACCCGATAAGTTATATACAATAAACATTATATATCAAGTAAACCTTTTCATTAATATTTATTTAAAAATATTTAAAGCCTTTAATTCATTTAAAAATGAAAAGGAAGTGTCAGAGTGGCAGCGTCGGTAAATTGCGCAAGTGCTGATTGTCCGCCATGACGCAACGCTGCGTCACCTGGGAGACTCCACACATGTGCGTGTGACACACACACACACACACACACACACACTGTACACCAGTTGATTGACAGTTGAGAGGCGGGACCAAAGAGACAAAGGTTAACCCCGCAAGCACAATTAGGTAAGTACAATTAGGCAATTAGGTAAGTACACACACAAGCCGTCTACAAGGCTTGTTAACAAGACCACACACTAGAAGTTGAAGGGACGACGACGTTTCGGTCCGTCCTGGACCATTCTCAAGTCGATTGAGAATTCTATACCCATTCTATACCCATTGTTTCGTGTTCTATCTTGTGTTGATACTTTTAATACCCCTATTAATATCCCCTTTGTTATGCCCATACATTCACTTATAAGCCTCTATCAACGTCACCCCTAACTCTTCGCCTTTCTAGAGTATGTAATTTAAGCTTTGTCAATCTTTCTTCATATGACAGGTTTCTAATTTGAGGGATTAATTTTGTCATCCTACACTGGAGGTTTTCTAGTGAATTTCTATTGGGGATAGAATTTCAGGGATGAATGAAGCTTCAGCTACTAGACTAATGAGAGGCGAGGGAGCTGATGAATTAATCCTCTGACTTCAAAAGGTGGGAAGAAATGCATGTGAAAGCATAGTAAGATCCTTATGTTCTAATGTTACAAAGAATGATGTCCTTCAAGAATGTATTTAATTGCCAAAGAAACAATTAACACCAACATGGGAGAATACAAAGTAGATGCAGCAATGGTCAACATGGTCAAAAGGAGTTTCAACTCCTTTTGACCATGTCGTAGCTCAGTCGATTAAGGCAGCGTCTGGGATGCTCTCGGACGCAGGTTCGAATCCTCGTCACGGCCCTTGTGGATTTGTTCATTTGATGCATCACGCAATTGTGATTTCTGTGTGTATTGATAATCGACATCGTCTTATCCACATCCTCCACACATTTTAAGTCACTGAGAAGCAATATCTCCTTAGTCAGAGGCTCCCAACATTCTGAAATTTCTTCTTGCTCAGCACTTGTACACACCCCTATCGTAGGTAACTCTTAACAATGTCTTCCAATTCTATTTTTGTAAACCATTTTTTCTGAGCTTCTTCGTCAACATTTTCCACCACACGGGGTTGAACACTGCCATCATTAGTGGATAGTTCATTTTCCTGAGACTCTTCCATCCATTTCCTGACTTTCTTCACCCTAACCCTGATAATTCCCTCCCCACTACACACTATCTGTTTGCCATTGCTAATTTTTCGAGAGCTTCAATCCTCTTGTTCAACTTTTTGAGGTATTCCAAGATCTGTGTACCGACCGACCGCAGAGTCCGCGACGCTGCCCTGCACCTCATCTCCACCAGGGTACACTTTTTCGGCTTCGTTTCTTACTGCACTAGGCTATCCTTAAGCGTCGCCGTGCCTTTCTCGCAAAAGTTGGTCACAGAGACAAGTGTTGTCTTTCCACTGTTTATTCCTTGTTCCTGCTGTACAATCTTGCCTTCCATCAGAGCCTCGTTTACTCTGCTTATGGTTACAGGCTTGGAATCTCTCACACGAAGCTCCATGGGACATATAGAGAGGAGCCAGCATTGTGGATGCCTCGACAATTGCAGCAAGATGGCAAAATTTGTTCTCTTTTGTCAGTCCTGACTACACTGTCGTGAGTCATGTTTCTTTCCACAATACCAACATTTGGGGTCAAACGTCGCCGTCGATCACAACACACCCCCGCTCCTGTGCCAGGTAAGTCCACTACGGGCTCACCATAGCCCATGCTACTTGGAACTTTTTGTTCCCAGTAGCTGAATCTATAACAACAACGTCGATCACAACACTTCTTCACTCATCCATCACTGTCAGTATCACCTAACTCTCTGCGCAAACTTTCCCGTTTGTTCCTCCTGGTCATTGCTACCTGAAAAGGCCTGGACTCTTCTTGTTCATCCTCCATCTAAGTCACTCGTTCACAACTTTCTAAAGCGCTCCAAGACTCGCTCTTCCGCGACCACGATCGACGTTTCTTGACTGTCCTGATGTGTGGTTTGGTCATCATAGATCTCTAGTACTGTGAGGTACTAGATTATCTCTACTCTCCTCGATTGTGCTGCACCTGTTATTTCTTGTTTTGGTAAAGGTAGACTAAACAATAACGAAGCCAGGCGAATAATTTTAGGATGCCTAAGAAATGTTATACTTGAAATAATGAGTACAATTCCCCTCTAAGGAATTGAAAGTAAAGAGTATTAGGGGAATGAATTTCTGGTTGAGGCCTGGTCAGGGACCGGGACGCGGGGATGCTGAGCCCCGAAATCATCGCAAGGTAACCGCAAGGTAAAGTCATGCGAATGACCGTAGCATATCAATAAGGACTCCACAATATGGCACGGAAGAGCTCCCACATCTGAAACCTTGATAACTTGCCTTGATCGAGGCGTCGGCAGACGGCCTCGATTCAATATATAGACAACTTTATAGCGCTTCGGAGTTCGTAAACAGGATGTTAAAGAAATACAAAGTAAGCCGCCATAACCGAGAAAAGATGAACAGATTTCATTCAGTAATTAGACCCTTGGGGAGGGGGGTGGGGTAGGGGTGGAACCTCGATAAAAGCCTAACATGTAAATGAACAAATCCACAAGGGCCGTGATGAGGGTCCGAACCTACGTCCGGAATGATCCTAACATGTACTGTACGTATAAACTGGCTTCCTGTCCCTCGACACAATGAATTATTATTAATTAATATATTGGGAGGTTGGCCACCTGGTGGCGGTGTTGCTAAGCGTCGCGCCAGCCCGCCACTCAGGCGCCATCAGCGTCTCATAAGCCTCGGAGTTTCACCTCTTGTCTAAATATTAGTAAAAATCAGCGGGACTTGCTACATCTGCCTATGAGGCCTCAGCATTACCTCTATAATTGATGTGATGGGCGGAATAATAATAATTTGCAATAATATTTATAAAAAAGCGCATTAATATTTTATGTAATAACTACGATATTCTTGATATATAGTAGTTATGTTTGTTAAATATATTTGCGAGGGAAGCAGTAAAGCAACACAAGTTAAGTAAAAAGCAATAAATAATGAATAGAGGACGTAAAACAATAAATTATTGTCAATCAACTTTAATTACCCGAAATCCTTCAATGACACTGACGTCATTATACCTTACCTGCATGACGTCATCACCTCAGCTGACGTCATTATACCGTACCTGCATATGACGTCACCACCTCAGCTGACGTCATTAACTCAACCAACGACTTCCTCTAACATGGCGTGACCAATTTTCCTAGCAAATAACAAAGGTAATAACGACCTTACGAAATGTGAAAAAATAACGATAGACTACGCTATATTTTAAGAGCTGTAAGATAAGATAATTACCAGTGGAAGCTGGAAAAGTAAATTCATTGTTTAACCATTTTCATGTATATTTTATGATTCGGTCAGTGATTTTCGAGTTATTTAACCTTCATGCAGAGTGACTGAATACTCTCTCATGGTGAATCATTGTTGGAGCCATTGACGAGAGGGAAGGGGAGAGAGGGAAGGAGGAGAGAGAGAGAGAGAGAGAGAGAGAGAGAGAGAGAGAGAGAGAGAGAGAGAGAGAGAGAGAGAGAGAGAGAGAGAGAGAGAGAGAGAGAGAGAGAGAGGTAGATAAATCGTATATAAAAATATAAAATAATACAAAAAGTATGTAGGCTACTAAACTATTTAGCATAAACCTATTTTTCAGTTGTATTAAATTTGGTCTTCCATCCTAGTCCTCTCAAATGAAGCTTGAATTAATGATGATCACTTGTGACTTACTCAAGGACACGATGCTTCCTTTGTCTGCGTCGATCACCAGTGCTGAGGCCCTGAGCATGACATTACTCTATAATCTAGAGGTCTCAGTTAAGAAATTAACTTATGTGTAATTACCTAAGTGTAGTTACAGGATGAGAGCTATGCTCGTGGTGTCCTGTCTTCCCAGTGCTCTTTGTCATATAACGTTTTGAAACTACTGACAGTTTTGGCCTCCACCACCTTCTCATTTAACTTGTTCCAACCTTCTACCATTCTGTTTGCAAGAGAAAACTGACTAATATTTTACGGCACCTTTGTTTCCTTAGCTTGAATATGTGGTCTCTTGTTCTTGAAGTTCCTGGTTTCAAGAATTCCTCTTTGTCAATTTGGTCGATTCCCGTTATTATTTTGTAAGTGGTGATCATATCACCTCTTTTTCTTCTATCGTCTAGTTTTGGCATGTTTAATGTCTCTAATCTCTCCTCGTAACTCTTTTTATCAGTTCCGAAAGCCATTTTGTAGCATGCCGTTTCACCTTTTCCAGTTTCTTTATGTGCTTCTTGAGATTTGGGCTCCATATTCCAGTTTTGGTCTCACAAAAGTTTTGAATAATTTCTTTAGTATTTCACCAGCCATATAATTGAAAGCAAGTCTGAAGTTGGAAAGCGACGCAGCCTGCGCCATGGCCGAAGGAGCAAAAAAGGGGAAGACATCCTAGGAGCCAGGGCTCAGGCCGATTCCAAGAAGGCAAGTACCGCCTGCCGACACTCAAGCCGGGAAGCGTAGAACAGGGAAACCGCATCCAGCAAGATCGGTGCAAACAGCTTCAACAAGGCAGACGATGCGCGCGCCGCCGAGCCCAAGGCACCGGACCCCAGAACGGCCCCGAGTGCCCCCACATCCTCCCCAAGCCAGTCCAAAGACTGCTCCATGAGGGAAAAGAAGTGCAAGACCTGCACATGGAGCTGCAGAACGCCAACATCCCGGGGAAGGGCAGGAGCAAACAAGCACTCATTGAGGTGTTCAAGGTGCCCTCCCCCCAGGAAAACCTAAACCACCCTCGAGACCTCGCGGCACTCAAGCGTGCTGGAACGACAGAAAGAATGCCAAGCCTCCAAAGCACAAATAGGACAGTCCGCCAGCCAGGACGACTCCGGAACCTCATAACGAATGAATTCCCAAACTGAAAGATGACGGATCCATCATGATTTGATTGATTGTTGCCGCCGAAGGCGGCTAGTTTATTGTGCACCCCATACTCATCCTGTGAGCGGTAGCGCAAAAGCATTACAGAGGGCACAAAAGGTCTTTATCAGACCTCATCTTAGATTATTACATAAACAATTTCTTCAATCCTTCACACCTTATAGCAGTACTGTTGAATAGCTCCTGGGACTCGCACCCCTGGAAGACAGCCACCACACTCAAAACAGTGCTGGAAACGCTGGAGCCAAGCACACGACCATCAGCTTGAGGACTGAAGGGTGGATAGCTAGTGCAAGGGGTCTGGGGCTCCCCCTTCCCCTAGCTGCGCGGCGATATCATGCTCGTTTGTTTTAGGAGAGTTCTATCCAGTTGTTCGGCTTTTGGTAGCAATATTTTCACCTGAATAGGGGTTTGTTTGTTTTGGGATGCTTACCTTTCTGGGTGCCTGATCCGGTCGATGGCAGACATAGAATGCTCCAACCACACAGGGGTTTCTGTAGGCCATTGCTCCCCATGCCTCTCTGAGGGGCCAGGTTCTGGCTCATGGTCCCTGGTAGGCCCATAGAACTCCATACACATGACCGATTCCAAAGTCTGACATTAGTACATCAGCCTAGTAAGTTCCGGGAAGCCGAAGGGGCTCCCCCCAGAAAACACTGTTGTACCTTTTTTATATATGTAATTACTGTACTTAAAGAAAAACAAATAATTTGAAAGATTTTATTTACAGTAAATGAAATATTTTTTTATATATACATTATGTGCATTATTAAGCATCGGATATTATCCACAATGGAAGCATTAACTTAATTTCTTCATGTAGAAAGCACTGTCAAGGCTTCCAATTGTTCGACACAACAGAAAATACAGTATAAAAAAAAAAAGTCAGAATTGTATCTATTCTCGAAACAAGTAACTAATGCTATATTAACAAAATGGAACCAGATTAAGATCTCACATTACAAGAGCATAATTGTGACTATCAATGGCACCATTATTCAACCTCTTCATTAACTGATCTACAAAAAGAAATTCTGTAATAAAAGCTACATTTATTAACCTCGTGCAGACTGAATGCCGACACTGTACTAGTTCACTTTTTCACGGCTGAATTTTTAAAATGTACAGTTAAAAGAAATATGTACTTTGTCTCATAGAATTGCAAATAAATTTTTTTTTAACTTGTTTACATAACTAGGCAAAATTTAAAATTACAACAGTTAGTAATTCAATACTAACCTATTAGCATACAAGGAGACAAATGATGGGAACTTCTGTCATTACAGCATAACTAATACATGTGTATGATAGGCTTAATTGGTTGATGCAGGTGCAGCAAATTTTTGGATATATTGTACTGTAATATGATCAGATTTGGATTAAAATTAAGGCAATAAAAGCCTTTTTTATCAAACCCGGACAGTACAATGTAGAGGTCCCCCCCACCCCTCCTATCCCTTACAAAATGTCCACTAAAGGTTAACATGCACCTTTATTGAGCAAGTCTACGTTGGTTATTTTCTGAGAGTTTATATACTGTACTGTACTGACTGGTACATTTATATATTACTAACTTCTCATATTAAAATATAGTTTAGATTAGTTTTAATATGACCAGATATAATTTCTGTAATTTCAATACTCAAAATCTACTGCATATATTTCAGTTAATTGAAATGAGTGTTTTAATTTTAATTATTATTCTATGATGCATTCCTCTTTTTAATAATATTTTGTAATACTGTATTGCAAATACAGCCCATACTGTACAAGCTATACATGTGTCTCCTTGAAAACACACCTGAAACAAACAAAATATTTAACACATTATTTTCTTAGGCAATATTGTACAAGAGAACATGACTCATTTAAAAAATAAATAAATATATAAACAAAGATATGTTGCGTTAAGGTTGTCACGCATAAATGTATGTTTTCTAATGAATATATTTGTATAATCATATTCTGACACAAATTGCCTTTATCAAGTGGAACTATATATATACATAGAATATTTTGCACTTTTATAGAAAATCATGTCAATCATATCACAGGATGATTTTACGACTTTGTGACTACAGGCACTTGTTAACTACAGCACTGTATATGTATTACAAATATATGATACTGTACTGTACATGGAAATACAATGGAACCTCCAAAATTCAGATTATATCTTCCCAAGCTTGATTCAAATTTGGGAAATATCCAGAATTCAGAATATTTTACCCTTTGTATTTATTAACCATCATATTTAAGGAATACAGGTATTTTTTTTTTTTAACAAATGATAGAATATATCTTGATGCATATTTATACACACAAAAAACTGAATTGTTAGAGTTATACTACAATAATGGTTAAGTAAAACATATTAAAAAACTCGATATATTTTTATGAGTTCTGTATTTACTAAAAAAAAAATAAACAGTAACCGAAAAGATAGTGAAAGATATCATCAGGTAGTACAGTAACTACTATAAGGAAATGTTTTTTAATTTCGTGGTGAACGCCCTCCAGAATCTATATTAAATTCGTAACAGAAACAGAAACATTGTGCCTTGTTTGGAGGTTTTTTGGATTTTGAAGGTTGAACTGTATACTGTATGTATATATGTTTAGTACAATGCACATAAACCTACACATACATGCTATACATTTGTAATACATACTACAGCATACATGAATGTAAAGAATTGATTAATAATATTCATTCACCCATTAAACTTCAGCAACTGATTGCTGAAGTATTACCGATTTACTTCATGAACTATATAGTATTGTGTACTTATAATAAATAAACTATTCAAATGAAGTAATGTGGTACTCAATAATGCAAAGGCACCAGTGCCAAGCTTTGAGTTCAAATGTGCCAGTGCCAAGCCTTGAGCCCAAAGGTCCAGTGACAAGCCTTGAGCCCAAAGGTCCAGTGACAAGCCTTGAGCCCAAAGGTACCAGTAGCGAGCCTTGAGCTCAAAAGGTACCAGTAGCAAGCCTTGAGCCCAAAACCCTTAAATCTCATCAAATCAAATAATCTCATAAAACATAACTTTTGGGATAATTTGAATGCACAAGATTTACAATACTGTATGTATATACAGTACTTCAATAGGTGACCCATTTACCACAAATCAATAACAAATGATAATTATTGGCTCCAATTATATTTTTCTAAGTTCACTGATGAATGTTAGGTGGTGTGTGTACCTATCATACTGGAAAAGTACACCACATTCAGATTAGAGTATAAATCTATTCACACAAATAACAGTCTTAGCACTAGAGTAAAATAAATCCTTAATTTTGAAATGGCAACAACTTTACTAATATTAGCTGTACAAACAAAAATATTTACACTTTTCATATGAGGTTAAAGAATTATAATAGATGATATGTACATATAATAGCAAAGATCTGTCAGTGATACAGTATATATATATATATATATATTTTTAAATGAGACCTTTGAATTTAAAAATAAAAAATCCTGTGGAATCCTAGACCAACTTTTTTCAGACAGAAAGCCTTAGTAATAATAAAATTTTTGAAGAAATGCACATTGAACTTAACATTTAGAATGAAGCCCACTCTTAATATATATATATACTGTATATACCAATTCCCACAGACCATTGACATTCATTGTAAATAATTTTCACACTCAAACTTTGGCTTATCTAGCACCAAGATTGGCTGGAATTATGGTCAAGATCGACTGTTGATGCAGATGTCATCCCACTTACAGCAGAAAGAGCCGATACACCACTCAGTCGGTGATTGTCTAATTCAGTTATTATATCACAATCTCTCTTATGTCTTAAATTAACCCCATTAATTTTTCCAAAATCATTGGAACCTGATAAATCACACGCTTGTTTTAAGTCAACTCCAGCCGACATGTTTACGTAAGAGTTATCCACGAGTGGATTGCAATTGGAATCTGTTTCATTGTCTTGTCCCTCATTTTCATAGGAACTAACTTGTAAAGAAGGTCCAGTATAGACCTTATTGTTTGATGGTTTGAGGTAGTGTTGCGGAGACATTACATTAGACATTGTAGGCAGAGGGAAAGTAAAAGTGACACTTGTGGGTGAATCCGGGGTGGGAGAGGAAAGACTTGGACTTAGTGGAGTGGATGGGATGGACACCTGAGCTGTTGTGATAAAGTTTGATGGAGACTGAGGAACATCTGATGAGGTTGGTGGAGGAAACCTTGGCAAGCCAGATGCTGCTGCACTCCCTAATGGAAGATTGACTGGAGGTGATCTTGGAGAAACGGGTGGTGATGATGGTGATGGTTCATTGACCAGTTGTAGGTACTGCTGATGCCTCCTTAAAGGAGCTGTTAGGGGTAGTGTGCTTGCTCCTGAGAATGAATCACACTCTTCAATTTCTGCACCATTCCCTGCATCTTCTTGACTTGCACTTTTCCCTCCAAGGTTTACAGCACTACTGCTTGTTTGGTCTGACCATGAATTACTAGGTGAGCAATCATTCCCACTAACTAATGAGTTTCCTGTTAAAATAAATGCTTTTCAGTTATTGTGTTTAAAAAGGAGAACAGATACCAAAACAAAATAGAGTTGCCATGAATTATGTTTTGCTCAACATATATTAGTGAGAACAGTTTGTAGATAGAGAATTAAGAATAAAAATTCATTATACCCTTACTTGCTATATACTGTATTAGAGTGACCCAAAGATTATGACTTATGTAATGCTGTTACCTGTAACATAATACTGTACTAGCATACAGCTTTCTATCTGTACTAATGAACTTCTCTATTCTGTACAAACTAGCACTGGGTGGAACAAATACAAAATTGGGTGAAACTAATGAAAAATTCCTGTATTACTTTCTGATCATGAACTGAAGTAAAGTTAAAGCTAAAGAACTGGTAACCTAATAGATGATGACAAGTTCCCCACCTGAGTTAGTGTTGTGGTTCTCATCACGATCTTCAGCATAAGCCAGGTTATCAAGGCCACAATCACCTAAAACAGCAAACACACACAAATATGACGGCACACACATTGGCATTCTATTAGTATTTCCTTCCTCATATTTTACTGTGATCTATGTAGACTTATAATGTCTACATAGACTGGCACTACATATTTAACTACAGGACTGCATTTCTGATGTTTTTTTTAGCAAGAGTAAAATATGAGGAGTCAAGTCAGTAGCTACGAGAAAAACAAAATTTGTCAACACAATGCAAAAAAAAAAAAATCCATGCAAATCAAGACAATGAAGTTTAAAGATATGTCATGCAAAAGAAAAATTACAATTTTCCTAGCAATCACATTTGATTCCTCCCTGTATATACCAATACTTACACAGGAATTACTTTATATTGGTAATCAAATATATTTTCTAATACAGTATTAGAAATCACTACAGTATATATTTTATAATAACACTAGTTTACATATTAATTTTTTTAGTACACACGAATGTTTCATTATTTTTCACATTATTAGTCAAAGGTTAAATTTTTACAGTTAATAATGTGTTTTTTTATTGCTGTATCTTAGTTATGCTCGAGTCATCTACTGAGGACACAGTGACACCTCATACTCTGACTGCTATTTGCTGCCTGCCACATTGTACAATGCAATATTACAATGCCAATTGTGCTGGCTTGCCATAACAATACAACATTATTGTGAACCTCAGAGATTAAGAGTTAAATACTCTATTTTCAAGTACACTGATGCATTTTTCACACCATATTTGCAGTTGTATAAAAAAGGTGTACTTCTTGTGTGTTTTAGGCTATAATTGCACAAGTGCTTGAAATTATGACTGCTGATATTCAGGTAAAATGGAACGGGAAAAGAATATCATGACACTACCTTTCTTATCAAGGTTTGATTTACAACATTACTGCGCAACATCATGCTGTGCAACTTCCCAATTTAATCATAAGTTCACTACTAAATTTAAAATACCGTCCCCATGGCGCAGTAGTAAAACACTCGTCCTGTGCTCCGCAAGCAATTTGGCCGGGTTCGTATCTTGGCCAGGGAGGATTGACTAGGCGCCAATCCCTAACTGTATGCCTTTGTTCACCCAGCAGTGAATGGGTACCTGGTTGTTAAATGATTTGATGGATTTCCAGAGACAATTAGGTTTGAGGACCTGCCCGAAACGCTATGCGTGTTGGTGGCTTTACAAGAATGTGATCTCGTGTATATATAAATAAAAAAAATAGCAATGATTTGTTACAGTGTTTCTTGAACGGTAAGTTACACAGGTAAAGTACTGGCTTGTCGGCAACAACGAGGACAAGCTTCAATATTACACTTTGATTTTAAGTACAATTTTAACTTTGTTTTGTGATAAGATTTATTTTTTTCAAATATGAAGAAGCATGGCTTAGGTTATAAATTATAAATATTAAACACTAGTTGCAATGAATATGTACATATGAACACAGCAGGCATTATATAATTTTTATATGATAAGAAATACAAAAACAGGCACAAGAAAGTTAACAACCTGCAGTATCATAAAATGCATTAATCCTTTACTGCTTGATGCACAGAAAATATGTTAATTAGTTCAGCTCAACCAAGATGCTTACTAGTTTTGATACTTAATTTGAGACAAGCAATAAATGCAATAAATATCAAACAAAAATTAGCTTCATTCACAGAGCATGGAAGACAGGTTGTGTCTACTTACCATTTGAACCAATGTAGTGAACATTGTGAACAGCAAGGGCAGGCAAAGCTGATATGGTTTCTTCTAACATCAAAAGGGCTCTTAAACATTCTTTAAACGTTGGTCGATTCTCTGGACTGTAACTCCAACATCGCTCCATCAGTTTATGGCTAAAAAGTGAAGCTTAAGTTAATATATTTTTCAATACTTTATCCTGCATCCTAGACAAAGTAAAAATTCAAAATATCTATAGTATTTTAACTTTTTCTTTCACTTCTGTAAATAAATTACTATGCCGACATTTTTTTTCTTTTTCTAAAGTGCTCTTATTGTTTAAATTAGAGTGAATATTGTGTGCTATGTGACACTGTGTAATGCAGCAATGGCCAAGACAAGCCATAGATCGCTGCATGAACATCCCCTCATGCAACACTCTTTGGCTCATCAAATGCAATTTTAATTTATTGTGTTCTGTTACCACTAAAAGAGTCTGTGAATTGAGTCGTTTTGGTTTATTACGACTAAATACTATACTTTTCCATGTATAACTTATAATTACTTATGTTTTAGACTTTTTATTACATTTCTGTAGCATAATATCTCTCATATATTCTGCACTTCATTTGTGGCTGGGGTACTGTACAATACTGCGTTGCATAACATGTTCAGATGGGTGCTTTATTGAGGATTAACAAAAATTGTAATTTGGTGGTCTCTAGAATACATAGCCATTTTAGCTATGTAAAAGTAACTTCACTGTGTGAATCTGTTCTGCATAAGTTTTTCCAGGTATGCATGCATTTCTTTCATGGACTGAGGGCTAACTGGTACATTAGTATAGTACTTTTACCTTACTTAATTGGGTGACACATAAATCATAGTTACTGAAAGAATAAATTCCCCTAAACATTCCCTTTAAATTCTTTTATGTTTTGACAACTTACAGTTCCTCTGGGCAATTGGGTGGGCGATTAAGGCGGCCACCACTCCTGACATAGTGCAGCACCTCGAGGTTGGTTCGTGCAGGGTACGGCTGCTGACCAAGTGTCAGGATCTCCCATAGTAAGACTCCAAATGCCCAAACATCAGAATGGCTTGTAAACACTCCATCAACCAAGGATTCTGGTGATAGCCACCTCACTGGTAACAGTCCCTCTCCCTACAAGTAAATTTGGCTTTACTAAATACAATGTGATTATGCATATACAGTGGCACCTCGATTAACGAGCGGCTCTATCTACGAGCATTTCGAGTAACGAGCGAGCCACTTGCAGAACATTTGTCTCTACTACCGAGCGTTTCCACTGGTTCTTGGACACCTTTTACGACAATTTTGTTGTTGTTTCGAAAGACGAGTTTTCCACATGACGAGCTCGATGCCGGAACGGATTAAACTCGTTAATCGAGGTTCCACTGTACAAGTACTGTATAACAATATGTAATTATACATATATATGTTTTTTCAGTATCTTATTCAGTCTGTAAATAAGTAGAGTATCTTTTATTTAGTATGTACTGTATATAACAAAATAATTTCTTATTTTGCAAAACAATTTAATAACTCAAAGTTTCTTTTTTTTGTGAATTTCCGAAACTAAATTTTATAATTGCATGATTGCTAATCTCCGGTAAGATGCAAAGAAAATTACAACACTACACTCTACTGTACTTTTAAATAGATAAGACATAAATAAATGCATTTAAATAACAAATGTAAACAAAAATACTGTACCTCCTTCCTATAGTAATCATTTTTGTATATGTCTCGGGCAAGTCCAAAATCACCAATCTTTACAATACGTAATTCAGGATCAGTGGTCGAGACAAGACAATTTCGTGCAGCCAAATCACGGTGAACATAGTGCATTTCCTCCAAATATACACAACCTTTTGCCACATCAAGACACATGGCCACCAAGTCTGATAGTGTCAAGCTGCACTCGGCCTAAGGTGGGGAGAAGTATTTATAAGAACAGCTACAGAAATATTTATATTTATAATATAAACAAATCTAAATGAAAAATGATTCACCATGTATGTTAAAACTGTCCGAACTCAGATGGTTGATTACCACTGACGATTATTGCGACCACATATTTTTCTGAAGCTTAAACTCACCCCTCGACTTGTACGAAGATAGGAGAGAAGATCGCCACCTTCCATAAGCTCAAGGATAAGGAAGAAAGGATCATGATCTGTACACACGGCCAAAAGACGCAAGATATGTTCATGCTGGAAATGACTCATCAATTGAGCTTCCTTTAGGAACTCTGCCTTTTCTCCCTCTGTTGCTCCTTTACGAAGGGTCTGGAGGACAATAACAGCTTTCATTACTAAATGACATCAAAATAATTACATTTCAATAGTTATATTTCAAATAAAAATAATCAACATCTAATGATGCAATATCAAGAAAACTTACAATCATGTTCCAATAGCATAGTCTTAAATTATTTATATTTATCAAATTTTATTACAGTACTGTATATTATTATGGTAATGATACTGTACAATACACAGTAATTTATGTTCATTTGTTAAATGTATAATAACTTCAGTTTCAAAATAATGGTGGGTATTCCATATACTGTACTGTACATTTAAATAAAACAAAATCCTGGATATACTGTACATACCTTAATTGCCACCTTTGTGACCTCAGGTAAGCACGGCAGCCCACAGGCTGTACCTTCAAACACTTCACCAAATGCTCCACAACCAAGAAACTTAGTGAGCGTGATACAGTGTCGAGACACATGGGGAAGATCAACGTCATCTCCTGAAATCATATACAAAATATAATAATTTGCAGTAGTCTGATATTTGCCAATAAATAAAATACTTCTCAAACAATAGCAGATGGATTCAATCAAAATTATTTTTGAAAAGATTAAAAGTATAGACAAAGTCTTATTTATTATATATATTGCAATTATTTGCATGATACCGACAGTTGCTACAACACATTAATACTGAATAATGAACAAAATAATATATTATTTTTAACTAACCAGGAAATGTGTGAAGGTTATAGAGCACATTATTTTCTGTGACAAAGTTGTTATTTGTTGGCAACTGACGAAGTGTTGCAAGTTCTACTTCACGGGATCGAGGATGGTGGTGATGGTGGTGGTGATGTGCAGAATCATTGAGGGAAGCTGCCTTCACCTTCCTCCTCCTCCTTTCAGCACGTTTCATACCTAAAAAACCAACTCTGATTTGACAAAGCTATTTTTTGTTGGCATAAAAAATAAGAAAAATGCAATGCATACCTTTGTTTTCAAGATTGAAATTAACTGCACTGTTTATAACGGGGGCGTTGCTGTATGTTACCACCATTTATAACCAGCTCACACAAAATGTGCAGCAAAATGTAGTGCTGCACATTGCAAATAGAAATGAAAATGCAAGTTATGAAATGAGCACTAAAATATAACATTCACGAAGAGAGAGAGAAACCATTAAGTAACAGTGGTCAACGTTTTGATGCCAGCCAAAAAATCAACGTATTGTGTGTGTGTGTACTGGAAGGCAAATAGAAACCTAGGATATTTTTGCAGATCTTTCAAAATGTTAAGTGGAGAATGTAGTCCTAACTCTATACAGTACAATTCACTGGTTTGCCCCATTCTCAAGCATTGAAACCAAAAATGAAACTTAATTTTTTACTGCTGCTTCAGCTGACATTAATATTAAAGCTGTTCCACTTCTTCTGAACATGAATGACCACATCAGTCTGCCAGTCTCACTGTGCTAACTTGTGTACAAATTACAATGTCTCACAAGCATACCTACTTTATCAATCCAATATTTGCTATATACATAAATAATCTATGCAAGTATCATTTCTCTAACTTTAAGCCATGGTATATATTTTTACACATGTCTATTTGTTTTCAAAGATATGCACTGTTTATCCCAATTTTATCAGTAATAATTTGTAAAAAAAAAAAAAAGTTATGATTAAATTTATTTAAATTCAAAATGAAAAACATTTACCTGTGCTTTCTAATACAGTACAGTATGTTTATTTCTGGTTTGTAATTGTCAGGGACAGGAAGCCCATTAGAGCTATCCTGGTCCCCTACTGACTACCTCCAAGATGCAATCCATAACCAATGGCTAATTCATGGTACACTACCCATTTACTACTAGGTAAACTGACGCATCAGGTGAAAGAAAATGTGACAATGTATTGGTTCTGTGAAGAAACCGTATTGGGACCTACTGACTGAGTCCACATTAAAAGGAAGTACAGTACAATAGATGGCAGCCTACAATCAAGTTATTGTATATGAATGTTTTAATATGTAATTCAATAATATACACATTTTTCAGCTAAATTTATTATATTTACCATATATCAGACACGTAAAAAGAACTCCGAAGAAAATAAGCGATGTGGGAATAGTCGACGCCAAAATTGTAGGAAGTCCTGTCTGCGTCAACATTGTTGGTCCCACTACAGTATCAATCACATTCTTCTCTCCCCATGGACCTGCTCCAAGTTTGTTGATAGCACGGGCTCGAAAGATGTAACTCGATTGAGCTTCTAGTCCTGTGATCAGCCAGTAGTTATCTGTTGAAAATATTTAAAAAATCATTATATAATTATAATCCTGTGTATCTAAAATCAAGCTATAACTTGCCTGAAATGTTAAGCAACAATTTATGAAGACTACAAATTCTAGATGAATACACCAACCCATCCTCTTGTTTAGATAGTACTTTTTGTAGATATGTGCACCATAGTACAAACATTGACATACTGTACTATGCAATTAGATAGTAGAACTTTGTACTATTCACTTTATAGTCTAAAAAAAAATGATGCTAAAATAAACTTAATATTCCAAGGCCTAGTATAACACACATATGTACTATATAATATATGTGTATTAACATGTATTAGGCCTAGGAAGGTTAGGTTAGTTTAGTTTGTCTTTGCAACATAAGTAGAAAATAATTTTCCGGTTTGTCCAAATCCAATAGTACAGATTTCTACTTTCTAATTGTGTTGTATGTCGATATATGTACTATGGTCCTCATCCTTCCTATAAGTACTACCAAAACAGGAGGATGGGCTGAATACACTATGTATTAAAATTATCACAAGTATTACTGTATTCTTTATCAATAGAAGTTGATAGATTGGTTAGTGCCCTTGGATCACCTTAGCCTCCTGCAATGTCATCTGCCCTCAACCTACATCGTGTGCCAGATGCTGTGGTGGTATGGTAGTTGACTTCAGCACCACCAGCATTTATGCACTTATTCTTTTTCACTGTAATTTCTTGCACAGTTTATTCTTTTATTAATTTTTGTATTATTTCACCTTTGTGAAATTGTTCACAATTATATTGTTCATCTTTGAAGGGTGTGATCGCCAAGTGTTCTCAGGTGCTATTTTTGTTCATTAATATTTCAGTAAATTGTTTTAATTATTTATTTGATGATTTTCACTTGTTTTTAAATGCGACTTTCACACTGCAAGGGCCAATAGCAGTATTTTTGTTTATTTGTGTGATGGAGAGCCAAACCACCTTGGTTCAGAACAGCTGCGATACCCGTCACACATGCAAATCCAAAACAATCCAAATCAGGTCTGGATTGATATGATGCACAGTTTTGAGAAATAAGAGTACAGTATATAAAAACATGTTAGGAACAAGTCTTTCTAAAGTAGCATGAATAAACTTTACCTGATCCATTGTACACAGTAGCATATGTAATATTATCATCAAGATCATCTGCATTGTAGAGTGCAGCCTGCAGGGTGTATGCAATGACTGGTGCACCATTTGGTTTAGCCTCACTCCACCACAGCCTCAGGCTGCTGCCCACCGACATACCGCCAACCTGCTGACGCATTACTTGTCCAGGTTTTCCTGGAATCTCACCTATAGGGCAAATATAGCATGATTATTATTTTTGCATATTCCTTCTACATTTGCCTCAATTTTAATTACAAAATCTCATTCATTTAAAACATTCACCAGGTAGCATGCTAGCCATTCATTAGTTTGAAATGTTGTGCAATTTGTGGCTTTTTACAAATAAAAGAGGAATATTTACAATAATTAACATATGTATATATTTTTTATTAATTAAAATAAATATTATTATTACTTATTAAATTTATAGTATAAATATTGATTTACATAATGTATAAATATACTATAAATAAATATAGTACTGTCTAAATATTTATTTACATAATGTATTCATGAAATTTAACCAAGAAAATTGCAATGATAAGAAGACTTACCCAGAGTGGAAAAATTAAAGAGGGGTTGTTTTGGCCATGAGTAGCTGTGTAAGGTGTTGTTGTAGACGACCTCAAGCCTCAGTATGTAAGAGGTGGCTGGCACCAGTTTAGTGATGTTGATCAAATATGTTTGTCCAGCAGTAGTTTGCTCCACTCCGAGTTCTTTCCAGCGAGTATCTCCTAAGGCTATATACTGAAACTAAAACACACATGATAATCAGAAGTCTTATCCTTAATTAAACAAATTCTAAATATGAAACTATAGATTTATACAGAATAACTTGTATAACTTCAGTAATTAAATTGAAGACAATAGTCACTAACTCTCATATATATATATATATATATATATATATATATATATATATTAGTATATTTTGGTAGCAGTCTTTCCTGTAGACATATATTATTAAATATGACCGAAAAAGTAAGATTAATAATTCTAACATGAATTTTCTCAATCTTTCGTACATTACGCTTCACTGTTGGAGGTAAATCAAAAATCACTTCTCCAAAATTCATTTTTATTTCTAGTCTGACGCGACACGGGCGCGTTTCGTAAAACTTATTACATTTTCAAAGACTTCACAGATACACAACTGATTAGAACGTATCTCTGATTTTATATCTACATTTGAGTGAGGTGGGAAGGGTGATGTGGCATTAACACAAGACAGAACAGGAGGGGATATTAATAGGGTATTAAAAGTATCAACACAAGACAGAACAGAAACAATGGGTATTGAATAGAAGTGTTTGTGGAAAGCCTATTGGTCCATATTTCTTGATGCTTCTATATTGGAGCGGAGTCTTGAGGTGGGTAGAATATAGTTGTGCAATAATTGGCTGTTGATTGCTGGTGTTGACTTCTTGATGTGTAGTGCCTCGCAAACGTCAAGCCGCCTGCTATCGCTGTATCTATCGATGATTTTAAATCATCGATAGATACAGCGATAGCAGGCGGCTTGACGTTTGCGAGGCACTACACATCAAGAAGTCAACACCAGCAATCAACAGCCAATTATTGCACAACTATATTCTACCCACCTCAAGACTCCGCTCCAATATAGAAGCATCAAGAAATATGGACCAATAGGCTTTCCACAAACACTTCTATTCAATACCCATTGTTTCTGTTCTGTCTTGTGTTGATACATTTAATACCCTATTAATATCCCCTCCTGTTCTGTCTTGTGTTAATGCCACATCACCCTTCCCACCTCACTCAAATGTAGATATAAAATCAGAGATACGTTCTAATCAGTTGTGTATTTGTGAAGTCTTTGAAAATGTAATAAGTTTTACGAAATGCGCCCGTGTCGCGTCAGACTAGAAATAAAAATGAATTTTGGAGAAGTGATTTTTGATTTACCTCCAACAGTGAAGCGTAATGTACGAAAGATTGAGAAAATTCGTGTTAGAATTATTAATCTTACTTTTTCGGTCATATTTAATAATATATATATATATATATATATATATATATATATATATATATATATATATATATATATATATATATATATATATTATATATTATATATTATATATATCTATATATCTATATAAATATATAAATATATAAATATATAAATAAATAAATAAATAAATAAATAAATAATGTCCCCACAGCCTGGTCCTCATCCAGGCCTCCTTTTTGTTACACCCCCTCCCTCCCAGGAAGCAGCCCGTAGCAGCTGTCTTAACTCCCAGGTACATATTTACTGCTAGGTAACAGGGGCATTAGGTCGAAAGAAACATTTTGCCCATTTCTGTGCCTGCACCGGGATCGAACCCGGAACCTTGAGATGATTTGATTTAACCTCAAGACTACGAATCCGAAGCGCTGTCCACCCAGCTGTCGGGCGCCCCAAGTACACTTCAGAGGATGTGCAGTGACTTAATATCTAACATATTCAAAGATTTAAGTAAGAGGGCCTAGTGCTGTCTGGGGTTTGAGTTTGTTACTGCTATAATTGCTGACTTGTGTTGAGTAGTTCGAGGTCATAGATAATTTTGGGTAGCAGAACCCCAGGCACAGATACAATATGTGAAATAAGGATAGAGAAGAGTAATAAAGCATTCACGGCAGGGTGAGATACGTAATATTTAATTTTTGAAAGAATGTCAACTGTTTTAGATTTTTTTTTATTTATGTATTGTATGTGGCACTGGAAATTCATCTATTTATCAATGAGAATTGAGTGAATAATTATAATTTAATTATAATTTCAGCATACTTAAGAATAACTACAATGCTTTCTGCAATACTTACATTATGACGGAACACGGAATTGTCAGATGGTGCCTTCCAACTAATGGAAAGCGTATGTGCAGTTGAATTTTCCAATTTAATGTGGGGTAGCTCAGGAAAAGTAATCACAGCTGCTTGAGGACTATTGTCATGCAAAAGTCTATCTTTAGAATAGACCCTTACCCAGACCTAATACAAAAAATGAGTTTAGCAATTAATAATAGTTTTTCTAAATATTAAACACAAAGGTACAAAAATGTTAATAAAATGCACCAGGACAAAATAAAGAATAATCCTAAGCCTATATTTTTTGTGTATAGTATTGTGTACATTTTACAATTAATATTTTATAACAAGCCAACTTGTTATACAGCATATAACCTAAATCAAATACAGCCTATACAGTACTCATTATTAATTATTATTAAAACCACTTCAGAACTTACAAGTTTCCTTATTTGATTAAAAAAATCATTCATAACTTTTCATACTACAGTATTTAAAAACTAAACTTATCCATTATCTTCAGTATTGCTAATTATATATAAACAATATCTGTTACTCTGGGTACAGAACTAGCAGACTAACCAGTGAAATGTGTGCCAAATTATCAACATGAACAAATATAAAATTTGCGCAACAGAAACAGTAAAACTCTACCTCATATTTAGTGTTAGGATGAAGTCTACTGATTGTTGTCTTAATTCTCTGTGTGCTGTTGAACTGGGGATGAATCGGGCCGGAGTTGGAGTCTCCCCCTTTCCAGTGAACCTCGTACATTTGTCCTTCAATGGCTTTAAAACTCACTTCAATTTCTTCTGGAGATAATGGCACAGCAGTTACCTCACCCACACTCTCTGGAGCTGCAAATTAAACAACTTTGAAATATAATATGTATATTATTTCCACTACAGTACTTAAGACATGATGCCTACCTTTCTGGGTGCTAACCCTTGTCAATGGCAGACATTGAATGCCCCCAAGTACAGGGGAATTTCCATAGGCCATTGCTCCCTTTGCCTCTCTGAGGGGGGCCAGGTTCTGGCTCATGGTCCCCTGTAGGCTGAACTCCAATTGACTGATGCCCTAGACTAATATAACGTATATCAGTCCGATAGCTTCAGGGAGCCGGAGGGGCTCCCCACAGAAAAACATAAAAAACTTGTAAGTAAATACAGTATTTACTTACATGATGAGAAAGTAATGTCCAGGGGAACATTACTGAGTATCAAACACCTGAGCACTATACACTATTTTATATATTCCTTAGAAACATTGTAAATGAAGTCAGGTAAGAAGAGCTTGAGCTTTAGCCTGAAAAACAAAGGAGTTGAAAAAATATTCACAAACTAGTATCTTAAAAACTAAGATAGTTTTCTAGAAAACTAGTTTAGTAACTTTTGCATAGTAGCGGATAGATGGAACAATGGGGACATAATAAGCACATGTGTACATGCATATAAAATAAACGAGAATTCCAAGAGGGAGGAGTTTTTAGAGCTAGAAATAAGCAGAACCTGAGGACATATGGTTAAGAGTTATAGAAGAATGGTTAAGAAATGATAACTTACTTCACTTAGATAGTTGAAAAATTGAAGAACTATTTTGTATACCAAAACCACTAGAAATTTTAAAACTAATTATGACAGAATGTACCAGGATGATTTAATTTTGTAGTATATAATATCAAAGGTAAATTCCATTTAATTATGTATAAAATGTACCTTTGGCTTTTGTTTTGTATATGGCCACTGGACCAGCTACTGACTTGATTCCCAGTCTCTTGTTGTAGACAGTTTCTACAGCACTCCGAAACACATACCGAGTGTATGGCTGAAGTCCATTTACTGTTATAACGTTCTCCATTCTCCTCTGAAATATCAATGATCCAACTAAAATTACACTGATAAGTATACTTGTATATAATACAGAGATAGTGATAACTCTAGGAGAACATGTCATGTAAGAACAACAGGAACAGGAAAATATTCCTGTTCACCTAGCAATAAACAGATACACAGGAGTTAAGGTCACTTTTGTGGGTTGCATCCTTGGGAATATTAGATGTTAGATGGGAAACTCGATAAGCCTAATAAGATTCTCGGGCAAAGCAGAAATGGTTGAACAAGTTTTCCTTTCATCTAATGTCTCTTCACCTAGTAGAAAACTGGTGCCCAGAGTTGGGCAACTGTTGCAGGATTGCATCCTGTGGAAGACAAGTAATTCAACCTGAAGAGAAACCTCAATAAAAGCCTAACGTATACATATACATAGGCTTCCTGTCCCAGTAACATATATTAGTTAAAAACAAGATAGGAATACATAACTGCAGAACAATTGTAGGTTTATAGTAAACGTTAGGTTAATACTTAAAATTAGTGAGTATATGTTATTTAATATCGGATTAAGCTGGGTCTCTTACACCCCAGCAAACACAAAAGTCTAAAAAATCCTGAGGAACAATGATGAACGGAGACTTCTTACAAGCTGCCACCTACTGCCTTTGTCAAAGCCACTAAAGACGGTGGCCCTCAGGTATACGGTCCCGGTAGTACAGTCAGGTTCATTCTCAACGCACAATTGAGAATTCCGGGTTCGAATCCCGGGCGGGACAGAAATGGTTGGGCACATTTCCTTTCACCTAGCAGAAAGTAGGTACTTAAGAGTTAATCAGCTTGTTATGGTGTTGCATCCTGAGCGGGGTCAGTAATTCCCTGGGGAGGTGGGGGTTCGATAAAAGCCAAAACGTATATGAATACACACTGGCTTCCTGTCCCCTGACACAATGAATTATTATTAATTATAAACAATGTGACTACAACATTTTTTGTTAACATTATTACATAGTAGCTTACCACATGGTGACAGTGTGTTATATCAGTGGAGCAGGAGATTGATTCATTGTGTGACACAGGAGCATAATACAAGATGTAAGTAACAGGAGGTGATGTTATTGATCTGCACTCATTTTCCTTAGATTCTGGAGCCACTAGCTTAATGGCAATAGTGGTCTCTCTACTACCAGCCAATGTGGGTGCTTCTGAGTAATTAGACGGTACAAGACACTCTGGTTCTGTAAATGTACAAGAGTTGAAATTTATCAATAAGGGTAGGAACAGGAAGAAAAACTAACTTAATATTATCCAAAATATAAATTAAACATTATGTAGGTTAGTTTCTTTGCAAGAATGTAACAATTAATCACCAAAGCCTGTAATAATAACACTTAATACATTGTACCTTCTTGGATACAAATACCACTGCACCACAGGATTGTTTAAAGATTTGACGGTTTATGAACTATCACATCAATAACACTATCATGTAGCAGACTGAAGAAGAAAAGGACCTTGGAGTTAGAATGTAATGACTGGAATATAAGCTCTAGCTTCTGTTATTATTAATTGATTAACAATTGTCAATTAACATTGACAAAACCTTCTATATTTTGTTTGGTAATAAATCCTCAAATGAAATTAATTTAAGAATAAACAATATACAAATCAGTAGTAAAGTTGATGGTAAATTCCTTGGTGTCCTCATCGATAATAAGCTGAATCTCCAGGGGGACACATTCTAAATATAGCAAAAAAAAAAAGTTACTAAAACTGTTGGCATTCTTTCTAAGATCAGATATTATGTACCTCGCCCTGCCCTGGTGACGCTCTATTACTCTCTCATCTATCCTTATCTCAACTATGGTATCTGTGCTTGGGGTTCTACTACCCAAAATCATTTACGTCCTCTAATTACCCAACACAAAGCTGCTATTAGAACAATATCCAACTCTGGGCCCCAGACATCACTCGGTACCCCTACTCAAATCTCTGAATATGCTAGATATTAAGTCACTGCACATTCTCTCATGTGTATTATACATATATAAAATGCTGAACTGTAATGTCAATCCTGACCTTAAAAACTTCTTAGAAGGGTGCAACAGAACCCAAGGGCACCACACCAGAAACAAATACCTATTTGATATTCCAAGAGTACGATTTAATCAAACTAGAAATGCTCTACAAATCAAGGGACCCAGAATGTGGAATGACCTTCCCAATCATGTCAAAGGCTGTACCTCTCTCACTTTTCCCAAAATGCTATGCATGTCAGTGGCTTTGCAAGAATGTACCACATGATCACCAACATTTTTAAAACAAATGTGTCAAATATACTTGGCATATCAATCCCATACACCGCTTCAACCACTGACTAACTTTCACGCTATCAACTGTCAATTAGTGACGATAATATTTAAAATTTCTGTACCTGGCATAGGTTGTGTGGCAAGGTCAACTGGAATAAGAGATGTTGCATTGTGTAGTGGCTGAGAGTGCAAATCTTCCGTTAATGTTATACCCTTCTTAGGCAGCCACAGGAGGGTTTGGTTACTTGCTGTATAACAGTATAAATGGCCATAGTCAACTGCTATTTCATTACATGTACCTGAGAGGGGGAATAAATATTTGTAAATAAAATATCTTATTAGATACAAAATCTTTCATAAATCATTACCAATATTGATAAAGCAAACAAAACAAAGACATGAATAAATTACAAGTGAGCATATAAAAATGGAACCAAGCAATTTCCACATTTCTGAAGTTTTCTAGTTTTTAGAGCCTGTCAATGCTTGCCTATTAATGTCTATGAGAAGAAATTTAGCTATCTGGGCCCCCGCTTCCTAGCTCTTTGTAATTAATGCTTATAAATTTCTTCTTAGACTCTCCTAAAGGTTTAATAAAAAGAAATCTTAATTTACATTATTTGGAGGGGAAGGAGGGGAATAAATCAATATCCAAGACAAATAATTTCATTACATCATGCTTGGAATCTATGATACATATCGACCAATATATGGGCAAGATGTAGCCTAGGCCAAGGGCTACAAAATGGAGTGTGGACCAATTAGGTTTGTTCAAGAGTGACTGCCAAAAACTAAGTATGTATTTTTACATAACAAATTATTGCCTACAGTATATATTATTTATATATTATTTGTGTGTTATATACAATATGGAAGGATATGTTCTACCATTTATTATAAGAAATTTCCAAAACATTTGGTGATAAATATAAAAAGGGCCATATATTCAGAAAGCTGAATTATTTGTGAATCCAGATCAGGTTTAGAATGATATAGTCTGGGTTTTAGAGGCTATTCAGTACTACATTCAATTCGACATTTGTTTATGCTCCAATAAATTAAGTAAATAAAATAACCTTTTACAGCCTTACCATATCCATATTCTTCTGGTACAAAAATGGCTTCACAAGAACATCCAGAAAGATCAGCTTTATAAACAGTTGAAGCTCTGAGAACGTCTGGAGTTTGCTCAGATGCAACGAAGTATAAAGAGACATCTGATATGTTTGAAGCATCCAATGCAATGGCACCACCCAGAGTTGGAGTTGTCATACAATTACACTCAGAACTCCTGAAAGTTTTGGAAGACATATGAAGAGATTTATATACATATAACAAAACTATTTTCACATGACAGTAAATATTTGCTACAGTCAAATGTCAGGTAATCAAATCATAAATGTCAATTATTTTTCAGTTCACAATTTCATCAATCACCAAAAAGATTGATGAAAATCTTTCCAAATAAACTTCCTACAATTTCTTGAAATAACAATGAAACAGACTAGTACCACTAAATAAACTGGAATCTGACTAAAATAAAATTTTACAGAGTAATTCAAGTACAGGTATTCATTCTGGAATCTTACTCTGTGTAACCTACATCATTGATATTGATATCTTTCAACGCAAGAGTTTTGCTCGGCTGACAAAGTGTTTTGAGAATGGTCATCTTCAGATCACATTACCTTCAATTCTGAAAATTGGTGTGGCCTCAAACACATCCTGTTCTACTTACAAACTTAACAAACACCTATGCACTCCTTAAGAAACATCTATACAAATTGCTTTCCATTAAGATGTTTGGGAATGCATTACTATATAAACCTGGGAGTGGGCATTAACAGTGATGGGCATAGTATGTAACCTTGTGAATATACAGTATTACTGGTAAACATTTTAAAAAATGCAGACGAGTTGTCACAATGACGTGGCTGAAAAATGTTGACCAAACCACACATTAGAAAGTGAAGAGACGACTACATTTCGGTTCATCTTGGATCATTATCACAATCGACTTGATAATGATCCACGACGGCCTGAAACGTTATTGTTTCTTCACTTTCCAGTGTATGGTTTGGTCAACATTTAAAAAAATCATTCCTTCAAAGAGTAGAGCATTTATCTTCCATATCATTATTAACTTTATGATAACTAGGTTATTACATTAAACCTACTAAACTTTACACTAATAAAAGACTATATGCTGACTATATTATATTTTTTCATCCATCATATACACAGTCTGTAAAAATGCTGCTTAACATGTGAACACCAAAGGAATAGATCCCTCACCTCTCTTCCCTGAAAAAGTTTTGTAGTGTGTTAGCAGAGAGACTTGTATTCAGCAGCTGGAGACCTCTATGACCTTCATGAAGCACCAGTAATTGACTAAGAATGAAAAAATAAATATATTAACGCAAGAAATTTACATTTTGGCAAATCTAAGCATATTAAACAAATAAATGGAACACAGCAGTACATGCATGAGAAAACAAAGGGAAAACCACAATAGATCACCGCTGGATCATATTATACATGCATAAAAGTGTGTAAATTAAAGGTGACAATTTTTTATATCTGCATGATTTGGGAGAATGATTATGAGCCCATATAAGAAAGTTACGAGATTTCTTTAGGGAAACCCAATCTGGTAAAATAGCCTCCTCAGCTTCTGGGCTTAGGAGCTGAAGCTCGAACTACAAAAACATAAAAGTGAGTATAAAGCAACCAAGGGTGAAGTTTTGGAAATGTGATACCTCTTTTCAGTGTCAGTCAGCACAGGTCATACATACATATATAAGTTCATCTAGCTGAATCAAATCTGCTACCATCTTCTGCAATGGGTAGTCTGAGGAAAGAGTGGCAAGGCCCCATTTGTCATGATGATTTTTCTAAGCTGAATTTTAAAGTTCAGCAGAGTTTTGGTGTTTACGGCTTCGGCAGGTTGGCAGTTCCATGGATTTATAAATGTGGGAGAAAAAGCATCTCCTGTTTTCAGTTCTGCATTGTGGCTTGTTAAGCTTGAAACCATTTCTCCTTTTTTGTTACATCTGAACTTTTGAAGAAATTGTCTAGAACAACATCATCCACATTGTTCAGTATTTTAAAGGTTCGATGAGATCCGGCCTGTCATGGCTACTTTGCAATGTTGTTAGCCCTGAGGCCTCAATCGTTCCTGATACAAGAGTTGACTTAGTTCAGGAATGATTTTTGTCGCCCTGGTGTTGTATTTTCTCCAAAGCAGCTATGTTCTTCGGAAAATGAGGTCTCCATGCATGGATACAATAATCCAAGTGGGGGTACACCAGAAAATTATACAGATTTACCAAATATTGTTGAAGTCTTCCTCCATGAGAAGACAAAAATTCTGTTGCCGAGTGTGTATTCTCTTCCACCTCACCGTAAGTATAATCTAGTAATTTCTGCCTCTTGCAGTTTTTAAATCCTTGTCACGTCTTGGCTGTTTTTGTCTTAAGCACCTAAATTCAATGTGCCATTTGTAGAGTTCATCCCAGGACAATGATACAATGCCTGAGGTACTAATATTTTCAGAGTGAACCTTTTAGAATGAGCAAAGGAATGTATATAAGTAATTATGAAAAGAAGTCACCAAGCCAGAGCAAACAAAAGTAAAACATCTAACCTGGTTAATGGGGACAGCAAGAATTTCTTGATGTGCCCAGTTATATTCATTGACGTAACAAACTTTCCACTTTTCTGTCCAATAATTAAAGTTTGAATTTTGATTTCACTTGATCCCTCAGGTGGAGCTTCAGCCCATACAATCACTTCACCGATCCAGTCTACCGCTAAGCCAACACCTCGACCACTGAGGCGCAGAAGCTAAAATGTAAATACCGGTAAAATATATTATTTATGCATTAAATTCGATATTTATTTCAGAATCTAAAAATGTTAGAATTTCTGTAATAAAGAATTTAAATATGAAACATAAAAATATTGGAGTAATTGGGACCAGATTATTTAATTGAACCAGGAGAGTGGATAAAGGTGCAGAAGCTCTATTATGGTGCCTTTTTTTAACCAAAAATAATTATTGGGGGGGGGGGGATGTTTAAATTACTACACTCTGGATTTTCAAGGCTTTAATGTACTATGAATTACTAATTTTAGAATATTTTATGAAAAACTTACTATACTTTATTCAATTATATCATGTTATTGCAAACTACTTTTAATTATGGATTGTAATGAATACCTGCATGCACTTTAAGACTTCCAAATACTGAACATGACCTAAATAAATAAGATACAGATGGTAAAAAACATTCCACAACCTACGTACCTTTTCAGTAAAGTTTGTCTTCATATCAGTTAAATATATATCTGAATTCACATCCATCCAAGCAAAAGAGGAATTCTTCAGTAAAGGTGTTGCCCACTGAACTCTGGAATTCTCACTTAATACTTCCGCTTCCTCTTGAAGATCTGCATCGAGCTTAATAAGGGATCTGTCGCTGACCACAAGGAGAGATGGAGTCGGCACATGCTGCTGCAGAGACCCTGTTACTTCATGGCTGTACGACCCTTTTCCCATCTCGGTGACTGCAGCAACCTAAAATTATTGTGCACTCTCAAAACACACTCTCACAATATTAATAAACCAAGAATTTTTGTTAAAACATGATTACCTATATGAGTATGTATACTAACCAATGAGGTTAAGATAATAAAAATCTAATCAGATGATCTGCATATTAATTATTTAAATCCTTTAGGATTTCACGAGTCTATACTGATTTTTGTTACTACTTTACTAAAATGATTTAAAGGATACAGCTCTTTATTGGATATGTAGACAATATAATATTTGGAAGCAAAGCAAAATGCCTTTCACTATATTACTGTTTAATAGTGAAACTCTCTAGTACATAAGTAAAATACAGTACTTATATAATAATTTTTTTGTCTGGGACAAGACGTTGAGGATATTCATAAGTTAGGCTTGTATGAAGGTCCCCAAGGTCGAACTACTGACCCTCTCCAAGATGCAACCCACCAACAATTACCTAACTCTATTTATTTACTGCAAGATGAGCAGAGGCCCTAGGTGAAAGGAAACATGCCTAACCATCTGTCCTGCCCGAGAACTGAACCCAGGATCCCAGATTGTGAGTAGAAAATGAGGCCAGCTGTACTACTGTACTATTAATTTAATTTTCAAGATTAATGAGCTAATAGTAGGAAATTGTTCTTACCTTGAACCCATATACTTGATCAGCATTCAGATTTTCAACTGTTAATTGGTTCATCGTGCCATTCACCATTTTACTTATGCACTTCTCTTCGTCATTTATGGTGCAGTAAATTATTTCATAATTAATTATCTCACCATTTGGTTTGTCAGGAGGAGACCAACGCAGGTTGATCATGGCATTTGAATCCTGTCAAATAAACATAAAACATTTATTATCCAAATATATACCTTCTTTTTTCCCCACAAAGTAGTAAATTGCATTGACCCCATTAATATACTACCAACAATATATAAATACAATTTCGGCTCTATATGAAAACACTCTTCTATGTACTGTACTCAGTTGTTCCCTATGGTAAGAATTCATTGTATCAGTCAGGCTACATAGTCAGGTAGGACATCACCCTAGGAATTAGCACCACATCCATCCCAGCATGATCATTAAAGGTTGCTGGGAAGTCACCACAGATAAACTCAATCCAGCCCATAATGATCACCAGGATTAGGTTTGTAAAGACTAAATCCCTAATGAAACCCTTACTTGTTATCATAAGTGACTGTCACCTTAGGGCTCAAACTACTCATTCACCTACTTGGGTGAACCATGTACCCAAGACCAATTGAGTCCCCGAGGGGGGTCACCAGGCACCAAGACCCCCTGTGACCCAAGGATAGAAGTACTGCTGATGCCAGGTAGTGGCTGGTTGGCTCAACCAGGCAACTAGACGAACAGTTGGGCCATTACTCAATGGTCACTGGTGATACCAAGTGAGGATTTCAGAAAGAACTTTGTCAAAAATTAATTTACTGCTTGCAGTCATTACAGGCTGGTTTGGGTTTATCTTCAGTGATTCTTCAGTCCCTATAATGATGCTGCAGGGATATATGAAAAGTTTCCTGTAGAACCTGTGCCTAGAATGTTGCTGTACCTGATTATACATGTAAATTGTTACTGATATAGATATTTACAGTAGTGAGCACCAAGTGTTATAGCTCAGAAAAAGTCTCATGTGCAGATTACTTTAATAAATATGTCTTGACAATGGAGTCTCATGTACAATGTTTCAATTGCATTTTTCATTTGTATAGTACAGTACATACCTGAATCTTGTGAACAAATGTTCTCAGATCTTGAGGTGCTTCCGGTAAGTGTGCTGGTGTTCTAAGAGTTTTCAAAAGTCTGGCCCCTGAATTCCAGTTTGTAATGCCTCTTATAGATACCTTGAGAGTTGAATATGGGGGTAGTATTTCTTCATACACAATAGTAGTTTCATTAGTGAGGAATGCCTGCTTTATGTTACCATTGTCAATGATGACCTCATACATAAGGCTGCCATAATTTACATTTGTGATAGGCTTCCACACAAGTGAAAAGTTTGTCCATGTGCCTTTCACTAAGAGAGACTTTGCATCTATTTGTTCAGGTATCACAACTGGCATCTTAACACCATCTGAAAGTAATTTGAAACCATTAGACTAACAGCAGTGTAGTTTAAAAATAATTAAATCTATTGAGATTCTGTTCTTCTCAATTAGAAGCTTCTACATAGGCTAATTCAATATATATGACCCGTGAGGAATTATAAAGGAAAATAAAGATGTATTTACTTGATGCATCATTAAATTCAAATAGCATTTTTATTATTCTAACATTATAAAACTATAATCCCCAATATTGTATGACATAATAACTAAATAATGTTGCTGTTGCTACAACAGGCCGGCAGCAACTACCACAGCTGACCAAAAAGGGGAGCTGAAGGAAGAGCCAAGGCCCACGCCGAGTCCAAAGGTGAGGCCAGCACGGCTTTCCGACACGAGACGGGAGGTGAAAATCATGAAAATTTCCCCAGGAGAATGGAGCATGCAACAAGCTCAACTGCCTCTGAAGCAGCAGAAACCAAACCCCTGCAGGAGAAACTGTATTCAACAAAGCCAGGATTAAGGTTCATGTTTAGTACGTTGTGTATCAGAGCTGATTCACAAGGCGGTGTCTGTGAAGAGTAGAGGCAGGAAAGATTATTTTAGAAGAAGACCAATCAATAGGATGATTTGAGTCCCTAACATAACAGAAGAGAGCATTGTTTGTGTCTGCAGACTTAACACTTCTTTTGTGTTCCTTAAGTCTGTCATTTAGTATATTGCCAGTTTCACAAAATTATTAGAGAGGACAACACAAACAAGAAATAGAGTAAACACCAGCAACATTAGAAGCAGGAGGAGCAGTGTGAACCAAATTACTACAAGGAGTGTTAGTTTGTCGAGAGGCGAGCTGTATATCAAGAAGATGAAGGGTATTTATGAGATTTTTTACTTCAGATATGAAGGCAAGGCAGAGCACAGTGGTACTAGTGTTGGAAACAGGTTCGGGATGAAAGAAATTTAGTTTAGCTTCAGAATAGGCACAGTTGATAAAATGTAAAGGGTATCCAAGGCAAGAGAAGGATTTGTAAATAAAGGAAATTTCAGAATCAAGAAACTGAATTACCTGGAACAGGATGGAGGTTCGGAAGCATCACAATAAAGTGAGAAACTCCTAAATTGGAAGTGTGAAGAGCAGCCGAGTTGTTGAGGTTGGTGTCTGACACAACCACATCGCCGTCATCTCCCAGCCACAGCAGCCGTTCACTCACATACCACATTGGACCTGCAAAATTATCAGGCTTTGAGTGAATATGAAAAAAAAAATTCTCAGGAAGACACTTGGGTGCTCCCTAAGGCAAATTCACTAAATTGTGTGGAAAAGGATGCTAGTAAGGCTGATCAAGGTCCCCCCCTAGCCCATTGACTGACCTTAGCCAGGATCCAACCCACAACAATCACTTAACTCCCAGTTACCTACAACAATCACTTAACTCCCAGTTTAAGTGACTCCATAACCCTGACCCGGTAGTCATACTCCATACTTTACCAGTTTCCATGGAGCAGCAGTAACACTCGCTCCACACTTTATGAGCAATTTTGCCCGGGTTTGTATCCTGGTCGGGAAAAGATTGACTAGGCACCAATCCTTAATTATACATTTCTGTTCACCCAGCAGTGAATGGGTCATTAAACGATTTAGCGAGTCATATTCCAGGGAAAATTAAGATTAAGGACCTGCTTGAAATGCTATTCATGCTAGTGGCTTTACAAGAATGTAAGAACTCTTGTATATATAAATACAAAACATAAAACAGTATCTATATACTCTAGGCAAACAGAGTTATTAGGTGTAAGGAAATGTGCCCAAACTTCTCATGATGTCCAGGAACTAAGCTCTGGTTCAATCAGTTGTTATCCGACTGTGCTAAACACTTTGTTATACAGGTCACTCCTCAGAGTGGATAACTCTAGGGGCACAAACAACAATGCATATATCACCATTATTTCCATTTGGTGAAACTATTTACACTACATGAAAATAGAACATACATACCAACTTCAACAGTGTTTGGAAGAAGTTTTGATGGAAATTTCCTCAGTGTATCTCCAACTAATGCACCAAATAAGCGGCAGCCATCTGCATCACGCACAATCCACCAGATGCGGGAACCTTGTGAATCTACAGTCAGGCCATAAACTGCAGAAAAATAAAAAAATAGAAATGTATATGCAAGACAGCCCATTTATTAATGCATTTTAGTATATTTTGCCACTCATGATTTTGAACACATATTAGTGTCAGAAATTATATAGATGTAACATACTGTTTACTACAATTTTATAATAACATGAATGGATATCTATGCCTAATTCAGAACAAATCATATAATGGTATCTAAAGCAGCATATTTATTAGCCAAATGTACTTTCAAGCAGTAATCACATGATTCACTGGCAAATGGCAGGTTAACTGATGGCCTCATCATAATGTCAAATATAAATTAGTATAAGAGTACCTTGCTTTCCACTAAAGATTCCTTCCTGGTGGACGGTTGTTACATTACGACCAGCAAGTGTCGACATTAACAATGCGTGAGGTGTTGTCCAGAAAAGACGGCCACGCAGGGCATCTACACGCACCTCCCTGGCAGCCGTCACCACATTTAAAGGACCTTGAGATGACCCGTTAAGATTTGTCCAACCAATCTGTTTAAAAATAAGTGTTTATAAGGTTATATATATTGGTCCAATAAATCACACAATCAAAAAGCATTCCCAAAGAGCATCAAATTTTGTATATAAACCTGTACACACACATATTCACAAGTCCATTCCCCCAATCACAAACAGTAGTAATTACTGTACTGTACTCTAAATAAATCCTCAGATGTAAGTACTATAAAAAAATCCTTTAAGACAATATATCAGGTCAAGAGCAATTGTGAACTTGCAACATTATTAAAAATAAATATATTAAAGATAACTTTCAAATTATAGGATTTTAATTACAGTATAGGACTTTTAATTCTGTACAAATACAATAAGAATACATAATTTTATGTGAAAACAAATTTTTTCACCATTCTTAAACTAGATTAGCATATGATAAGAATATATATGCCTAAATATACTGTGCAATGAATATTATTAAAAAATTTAAACTAAAAAAATTACTGGAGAATCTTAATATAAAAATATTAATATAATACTAAGCTTTATCATGTCAGAAAGTTACTATCAAGCTTTACCATATGTCCGAGGGTTACTATCAAACAATACCATCTGTTTGCTTGGTTTACTATCAAGTCTTACCATCTGTCTGTGAGGGTTGGCCCAGAAGAGTCGTTGAGTAAGCCAGTCAACAGACACTGAGAGAACACCATGAGTATTGGGCAGCTCATTGAAGGTAGATGTGGTGATATTCATGACAAAAACACTCCGGTTACTCACTGCCATTACCAAAGAATCATGAAAAAACGCAAGGTCTGCAATTTTCCCATCATCTAACTTTGTCTGTAAAAGAAAGGACAGTAGTCAAAAATAGTAGTAGTCAAAGATACTAATAGGTATCTTTACAAATTTGTATTCATTTTAGGTATTGTATTGTAATCAATGAATTACGTCTTGATCATAATCAAAACTTTATGTTAAATGTGCTTCTGAATTGATGAAATGCTATGTGCTTTGCAAGCACATAGCACTTAAAACCCAAAACCTGAAATAACTTAATATTATACCTTCTTGAATATAAATAAAATAAATTCACTTAGTTTTGTGGAGTGGGGAAGCATTAACCTTGAGAAATAAGGTGACCAGTGGAGGAGACAAAAGTTAGAGAGACAGTAAAGTTTACAACATTACACTTGTTCATTAACCATATCTTATGTCTGTTCTCTTTATCTCTCTTGTTCTCTCTGGAAAATAATTCTGTTCTAAAAAATGCAACTGTTTTGCCAATCCCGAAACATGTAAACCCCCAAACAACCAACCTAACCTATTGAGACCAACGCATAGAAGTGGAATGTTGAATATACATCACCAAATTTCATATATGGTATCTACAATACAATCAAATCAATGTACATTGTTAATTTTATGGATAATTATAGATTTTTGTACAAAAATATTAAAGGATGTAAAATATATGTGCAGTTTATAATTAAAGTGATGATATGAGAACATATCTTTGTGCCTCAGGATTGACTACTCTGTGAACAGGATAACTGGGCTGATATCATTAAGGCTTCTGAAGTAATGAATTATTAGTAGCATTAGGTAATATATAATTTTTGTACTAGCTAATTAATCACTGTAGCAAGTTCCTATATTCATTTTACAAATAAAATTATTATTATACTGATGAGTACACTAGATAAAAGAAAGTGCATGTCAATGAAAGACAAATATCTGAGGTAAGGGATTCCTCCACCAAGGATTGCCAATGAAGAATGGAGTTCTGAAGGGATCCCAGAAAATATCAAGGAGTGCCAGTTTAGCAGGGAAGAATGACCTACTAAAGCAGAGTTAATTTTATGAATATCTTTATCCTAATAAAAATGGCTGTCATGTAAATATAGGAGTAAATCCACTGTATAATCATGATAGCAAAAATATTTCTGAATATTATATACAATTGACTACATTTCTCCAATAATACAATACAGTAGTTGTATGTATCCTTACCTTCAGTGTTTCCTGTGAAATCAAAACGGAGCTTTCACTTCCAGCCAGATTCGTAAAAATAATCTTTTTATCAATTGCCCAAATTAACTTTGGAGCCAAATCTGTATCATCAAGAGTTCGTCCTCGGAATTCATGGCTCCAGGGACCATTTCCTCCAATAGAGTATGCTCGCACCTGTGAATTTGACAGTCCATAAATATCTAGAGTAATGAAGATACAAAACTTACAATACAGTAACCCCTTAAGTTGTGCAAATCTGGAAAGCAAGAATTGGATTGAGGCCTACAATGTAGTTGAAGAAATCTGATACTATGTACAGTATTTTGCATAAATAGCATTTGTATAAAACATACCTTGATTATGTAAAATGTTCCAGGTCTGAGGTTAGTGGCTTGATGTGACGTGTCGCATATATTTTTACGATAAATGATTTTTTGTCCTTCCTGGATGTGCATTTCATACAGCCACTTTTGCCAAGCACCAGAACCTGAGGAATGAATAACCATGTATTAGCAAGGCACATATTATACATGCTATTTCCAATACAGTATTATATATGCTGACTATCACCTGCACAGACTTCACGAGATTATTGTTCAAGCGAAGATAAACAAAACAAAAAATAAATAAATAAAAATAATAATATTCGCTAATAAATAAAAGTAACAAAATATTTTAATATTTATACAGTGGAGTTTGATTTATAACTACAAATACCTTAAAATAATCTTAAAAAGAAATACCATACACAGTACATGGTCATGAAGCTGTAACAAACTAGATTTGTTGTAAGAATTATCCAGAAGGTTCCAGAAGTCTTGTGTAGGGACCTGACCTCAACATTGCGCATTCCTCTGGGGATTAGCATGTCTGAGTTACAAAATGGCTGGCGCATTTTGCACGCACTTTTGCATTTGCGCACCTGCTATACCATACTGCATTATTTATTAGTAAAACATTTTTTAACCTATATTTGTCCACTGATTTCTAAATTATTAAATTAATTTGCTATTAAAATAGAATGCAAGCAAGCAGTGGTGAATACCCATGAGTGCAGGCAGTGTCGGTGCGTTCCATGTAAGAGAAGCCGACTTTCGGGTGAACACGGCTTGAAGCTCACTAGGAGGATTGAGTGGAACAGGAACTGGCTGTGTGGAAGCATGTACAGCCACCAAGGTCCCAAAGTTAAATTTACTCACATCAAGATAGCTGCAAATAACATTACTGTAAATAAACTCAAAGTAATTCATCCATTCCTGTTTATATTCAAATACTGGTATGATGATGCAATATGTACAGTATATGCTACATGCCAGCAAATTATTCTGGTACTGAAGACAAGATCTGTACATTAAAAGTAATTGAATAATAATATTATACTGCACTGTATTTGGAAGGATATTAAATGTACCTGATGTGATAAAATGTTTCCCCGTTTAACTCTTCAGTCCAGACCTCCCCGCCATCTGTCCAGATGAAGCGACTGTTAAGGTGCACCACAGAGCAAAGATGCTTAAAGAATGCTTGCTGTGTATTGTTCCTTAAATTAGTCACTGAAGTCCTGAAAATTCCAAATGTGACATGAAAGATTAAAGCCTATGAGAGTCATTAAGGAAATGTCACATACAAATCATATAGTAAATATAGTATATCATATAGTAAATCAAATCATCTGGCACGCTTCACACAAGCCTGTGAAGTACTGGACATACAGGGGTACCTCAGTTTAAGAATTTAATCCATTCCTGGAGATGGTTCGTAACCCGAAAACTCGTACACCGAAGCAAATTTCCCCATAAGAAATAATGGGAAATGAATTAATCCGTTCCTGACTCTCCAAAAACTTCACTTCAAAGTAAATTTAATACCTAAGTCACCCAAATCTTCACTACAAAAGTATGTTCAAGTTATTACTTACCCTTGTTGATGACTTCTGTTGGCGTATGGAAGACGGTGAGGAGGGAGGAGGAGGAGAGGTGTTACTGTTTGGAAGGGGAGTCCCCTTCCATTATAACATCAGGCAGTGAAGATTTCTCTGGAGTGCACACACTGGCACGTTTTGCCTGCATACCACTAGGTCCTGGTTGTGGCTCACTGCTTGATTTTCTTACTTTTCTTACAAGGAAACGTTCCATTGAAGATTTTTTTCCCTTCTTTGCAACACTTGTCTGTAGTGAGGCATCACATCACAAAGATCAATGCAACGGCCTACTACAGCTTTATCTGGGTGATTCTTTTCCGCAAAACTTTGCAGTCCTTCCCATACTGCACACATTTTCTTAATTAATAAGGAAGGGACATTCTCTACTGCCTTCTCTTCCTCCCCTGAAGATTTGTTGTACTGCCTAGCTAGATCAACAATACAAGTACCATTTTCATGCTTACGAATGATCTCTTGTTTTTCCTCTATGGTCATTCTCATGTGATTTCTTGCCTTGAACCTTACCTGCACTGGCTTTCTTGGGACCCATGGTGAGATATATAATAACTTTTATGCTCAAATGACCAAATACTGTAAATTCTTGTGAAGAATTCAGGCGGGATAGTCACTGGGCATGAGGCACTAGTAAGCTGAGACACGATCGCCCTGCCACCACTCGCTAGGTCAGCAGTATGAGTACCAACAAACTCTTATCCTGATGCAAAGTTCGTATCCCGATTCAAATTTTCCGAACAAATCGGGATCGCAACCCGAAAAGTTTGTAAACAGGGACGTTCGTAACCCGAAAAGTTTGTAAACAGGGACATTCGTAACCCGAGGTACCACTGTATATACTATACTGTACATTGCAACACAAGATAACTAATTTCCTTCAATTTAACAAAATGCAATACTGGATAATATCAAATTACATTGAATGCTCATACAAGATTTAAACACTGTAGTCAAAACATACCCATCAAGAGAGACTGCCAGCATTGTGTTGTTTTTACGATCTGCTATGAGAACCTGAAAATTTGGAGGATCGAGAACAAGTCCTGCCAAATCAGATGAACGCAGAACAACCATAGGCTCCTCCCCTTCCACAAATTCATCATTCAAATTTAGGCGGTGTAATCCTTTGTCAAGGTCCTCAGAGATCCACCATATGTATCTACCAAAAAATTCAAATTAATAAAGAAACCTACATAAAATATTAATTTGAATGAAAGTATACACACAAAATACTATTAATTTGAATGAAATTATACATATGAATAGAGTACTGTATTAGTAATTTGATAATCTTGTACAATAAATTCAGTGCATATTAATAAAATATTATAAAATATCTACAGTACTGTACTGGATAAACATCTCCTTTTCTCGCACTGGACAACTTACTCCACTCCACTTTGGCTTTACTTCAAACCTATCTAGTCACTCTCCAGAACTTCTGAATTCCTCTCCTTCCCCTGCGCACTGGCTACCACCTTCCTCTCCAGTACCTTGGCCATATATTCCCCTCCACCAGTATCTCGACCATATACCCCCCCTCCTCCAGAACCTCTGCATCCCTTTCCCTCTCCAAAACATCTGCAACTCTCTCCCTTCCTCTCCAGAACCCATGCATCCACTTCCTCCCTCTCCAGAATCTCTGCAACCTTCTTCTTTCCCAGCACCTTGGTTACCACCTTCCTTCCAATTTTGAGCCATTATTTGCATACTAGTTGGTACCAAAGTCATACCATATGGGTATGGGATGCCCATCCTACAGGTGTTCCTACCCTTGCTAGAATGTTGACCGATAACCCATACTTAACAAGCAACAGAAATGTAGATATATGATGGGTTTTATATATTTTACTGCTTTGCAATATCACTTGAAATTTATTGTACAAGATACAATAATACAAGATACAATGATTGTCTGCCCGAAACGCTGCGCGTGCTAGTGGCTTTACAAGACTGTAATTACCATATTTGTATCCTCACATTCCTTATGTACATTCTTGTATATGCATAAATAAATAAATAAATAAAGATTATCATTTCCAATCAACTGTAGCAGCAGAAACATGTTCTATCAACTTACCCATTATATGGATCAACCTGGAGATATTTTGCTTCATAGTGAAGTCCTCCATATATTAAGACAGGATTTTTACCCATCAAATCACAGCGCCAAAGTTGCCACGTATGATCCCCTGGGGGCTCAAGGTGGACAATGTAGTAGAGATAACCATATAGCCAATCAACAGAAAGACTTAATGGGTAACCATGAATTTGGCTCTGTGTCAGAAGTATTCTCTGTTGAACAGGAGAAATTCTCATCTGATAAATAGACCCACTTGTGTCGCTGATGTATATTATACCTAAAGGGATATGTGCAGCCATTCCTGAAAAGAAAACCCCAATTACCAGTTATCATACTTTTGGTGAAAGTTACTGGAAGCTATAACAAATATGTTCTTTGCAAGTAAAGCCTGTGAAATTTATGGTAAATAGAAATTCAAAGAGCAGGTCATACATACCTATAATGTTATGTCCTCCAGAAGTGTTACAAATGAGTGTTGGAGTATCTGCTATGTCAAGGCCTAGTTTTAAGAGACTCGGGCCTGATGTTAGAAGCAAATAGCCTTGACCATCATCAACAGCTGAAAAAAAAACCAGACTGTTTTAAAACTTACTGATTGTCCAGTTTTACATGAACCTGGTGTACCCAATTAACAAAGTAACAATAAACTGCAATATTGTTTATAATAATGCAGTTAACTGTTAATAAACAATAAACATGCCATGAATAATGTGACAATGTCGGACCAAGGAGAATAATGAGATGGGAATGAGATTCTTTAAGTACTTTTGTATTAATCAATACATCTCCAGAAGGATTTCATAATAATTAATACATCCTTCAGAAGATGTATTGATTAATACGAAAGTACTTGAGGAATCTTCTGTCTTACTCTTCTTTGTGGTCAGACACTGTCATATATATTTAAGTTTATACTGCATATACTTATTTATTTATATATATACAAGAAGGTACAATGAGTTTGAGAGTACATAAATATATATAGAATAAATTTGATTTTGAAGTTGATAAAAGTAGCATCAAAAATATTTACTGCTTAAGAAAATCATGACAATTGTATACATATATAAATAAGCACCTGGAGAGTTTGGATAAGTTGTCACTTTGACAACTACGGCAGGGCCTTCTCCTCGATGGTTAGTGGATGTTAGGTTAAGAAGATATGTTGTGTTGGCAGACAATTCAGCAAGGATGTACCTGAAGAGAAAGATATTATTATGATATATGGACTTTGCTAACACTTATGATAAGGTACCACATGAAAGACTGGCAAGGAAATTACAAGCATGTGGAATAAATGGTATAATACTTGAATGGATAAAACAATGGCTGAGACATAGAAAGCAAAGGACTATCCTAACCAGAAATGAATCTGACTGGAGAAATGTGGCGAGTGGGGTACCACATGGGGTCCATTTTGGGGGTCAACCCTTTTTTGTCATATACACATCAATGACAGATGTGAATATGAAAACCCACATCATCAAATTTGCAGATAATACAGAGGTGTTACAGAGAGAGATTTACATGAACTCTACAAATGGTCAGAAGACTGGCAAATGGTTTTTAATATGGAAAAATGCAAGACTTTGAATGTGGGGCATAGCAATGCACATCAAACCTTGGAGTCAGACTCCTCCAATCACTGAAAGTTGCACAGCAAGTGGGGAGTTTCAGAAAATTAGGTTCTTCTGTACCTAATTTTTGTAATTAGGTACAAAAATTACCTTTAATGTACCTAATGTGTTTCTATCTAGGGGTAGTTCTAGATAGAAAACTATCCCCTAAGGAGCACATGAAGAACATTGTGCGAGAAGCCTATGCTAAGCTTCCCATTTTCAAAACTGCTTTTAAACACATCGATGGTGAAGTACTAAGGAAACTGTTCACGGCCTTTGTGACACCAAAGTTGGAATATGCAGCAGTTGTATGGTGCCCATATCTTATTGATAAGCACAACAAACTGAAAAAGATGAGAAGTCGTGCAACTAAATTGCTTCTGGAACTGAAAGACAAGGGCTACGAGGAGAGGTTAAAGGTATTAAATATACCAAAGATGGAAAAAAGCAAAGCAAAAAAAAGAGAGGGGATATGATCACTAATTACAAAACAGTAACAGGAATCGTCAAAATTTATAAAGAAGAATGCTCGAGACCTGGAACTTCAATAACAAAAATACCAGTACGGTATTAGAAAATACACTTTTATAAACAGATGGTGTGAACAAGTTACGTGAGAAAGTTGTGGAAGCAAAAACCGTCAGTAGTTTCAAAGCGTTATATGAGACATTATATGAGAGAGTACTGGGAAGACGGGGCCCCACGAGCATAGCTCTCGTCCTGTAACTACACTTGGGTAAATTACATTACTTCACAGATATATAACACACATTTCACTTTTTACAGGATGTCAATCCTTCAAATACAAAATTAGTTGATATAATGTAGTAAAATTATTTTAGAACTTTTTTTATATGTAACTAATTAAAGATTTCATTAACAAATCTGTATGCTTGAATAAAAAATTTAATTTTTTTAATTACAGTATTTGCTTTTGAACTACTGTATATACAGTACTAGTATTTGAAAATATATTTACCTTCGTTCTTCGTTGGCATTAATATTTGCCCTCATCTCCTGTCTTTGAGTATCTTTGGAATACAAAGTGTACGAGATGAGGTCTCCGCCTGGGAAGAGGGGAGGCTCCCACGTTACTTCTACACGGGACCAGTCAAGGGGCACTGCTTTTAGCTCCTGTGGACAAGATAATTCATTATGAGTTTCTGGAATTCATGAATACAGTACGTACATTTCATAAAGGACTTTCAAAGTAAAGCATGAAGATATGGTGCTCCAATATGTAATGTAGCTTGTATATGCAGCAGAATTAAATAAATTGTGGCAAATGTGGGAGTATAGTTACATTAAGTATACTGTACAAAGAATGTAGGAGGAAAAAAAAAAAAAAAAAGGAAATTATATAAAGCTGGTTTTAAACTTACACCTGTAGATTTTTTTATTTCATTTATTTATTATGCACCCCATACCCATCCCGTGGGCAGTGGTGGAAAGGGTTACAGAGACACGTAATGGGTTCGGGAACTCAAATGTAGACTACTGTAAAGTGCTCGAAAAGTACATGTACTATTAAAAGTACTACTATTACTATACTTACTCTTGGAGGTGATCGTGGAGGGCCAGAAGCCAGAGTACTGATCCATGAACTAGCTTCAGACATAATGGGAGCGTGATGTGGGAGAACCAACCAAGCAATGCGAAACTGGAAAAGGAAAGGGGAGGAGCTATCAGAACCCACTGACTGCTTCTTGAAAGAATGCCAAGTACAATACTACTACAGTACCATAAACCATGCACAATGTACAAGAAAAAAGTTTTTTTCATATTTATTTCTATAAAAGAGGGTATAATAGGATATGTTATTGCAAGCTTTGGTGATTATTTAATACACTTTCACAGCCAGAAATATAAATTTGGGGCAAGTCTTAAATCTAAAATGGAATTTTAAATTAATTTTAATTTACAAATTGAACAACCTATCTTAAGAAAATGGTGCTACAGTGACATATGGCTAGAACCAAGCAAAACTCAACTTACGTAAAATTTCAAATTTTACGTAATGTTTTTGGACATTTTTCAAATTATCTGAAATGTCTGAAATTTGACTCCTGAGCGTGTTTTTTGAGCCGAATTCTGACTCTCTGCACCTATTTTCATTTTCAAATTACGACTTTTTATACCGAAAATATGCCAATTACTGAAAACGGCGAAGGGTCATATTTTGCCCAAACCCCCCTGCAGTTTTCAAAATATCTGAAATGTCCGAAATTTGACTCCTGAACATGATTTTTGAAGCGAATTCTGGCTCTCTGCACCTATTTTCATTTTCAAATTACGATTTTTTATACAGAAAATATGCCAATTACTGAAAACGGCGATGGGTCATATTTTGCCCAAACCCCCCTGCAGTTTTCAAAATATCTGAAATGTCGGAAACTTGACTCCTGAGCGTGATTTTTGAGCCGAATTCTGACTCTCTGCACCTATTTTCATTTTCAAATTACGACTTTTTATACCGAAAATATGCCAATTACTGAAAACGGCGATGGGTCATATTTTGCCCAAACCCCCCTGCAGTTTTCAAAATATCTGAAATGTCGGAAACTTGACTCCTGAGCGTGATTTTTGAGCCGAATTCTGACTCTCTGCACCTATTTTCATTTTCAAATTACGACTTTTTATACCGAAAATATGCCAATTACTGAAAACGGCGATGGGTCATATTTTGCCCAAACCCCCCTGCAGTTTTCAAAATATCTGAAATGTCGGAAACTTGACTCCTGAGCGTGATTTTTGAGCCGAATTCTGACTCTCTGCACCTATTTTCATTTTCAAATTACGACTTTTTATACCGAAAATATGCCAATTACTGAAAACGGCGATGGGTCATATTTTGCCCAAACCCCCCTGCAGTTTTCAAAATATCTGAAATGTCCGAAATTTGACTCCTGAGCATGATTTTTGAGCCGAATTCTGACTCTCTGCACCTATTTTCATTTTCAAATTACGACTTTTTATACCGAAAATATGCCAATTACTGAAAACGGCGATGGGTCATATTTTGCACAAACCCCCCTGCAGTTTTCAAAATATCTGAAATGTCCGAAATTTGACTCCTGAGCGTGATTTTTGAGCCGAATTCTGACTCTCTGCACCTATTTTCATTTTCAAATTACGACTTTTTATACCGAAAATATGCCAATTACTGAAAACGGCGAAGGGTCATATTTTGCCCAAACCCCCCTGCAGTTTTCAAAATATCTGAAATGTCCGAAATTTGACTCCTGAACATGATTTTTGAGCCGAATTCTGGCTCTCTGCACCTATTTTCATTTTCAAATTACGAATTTTTATACCGAAAATATGCCAATTACTGAAAACGGCGATGGGTCATATTTTGCCCAAACCCCCCTGCAGTTAGTTTAGTTTAGTTCATTTATTATGCACCCCATACCCATCTTGTGGGCGGTAGTGGAAAGGGTTACAGAGGCACATAATGGGCTCAGGGACTGAACCCCACAATTCATTTAGCTAAGCAAGTTACAATCTTGATGAGCTAGTTACAAAATTCAATATAAGTCATCACATCAACAATGGGTTCGAGATCGACCTCAAGTACAGGTTCTAAATTAAGCAACTGACATATGTGGAGAGCTAGTGTCAAAATTTATATGTTTGTCCTGCACACCGGCCCCCCCCTCAGTTTTCAAAATATCTGAAATGTCCGAAATTTGACTCCTGAGCGTGATTTTTGAGCCGAAATCTGACTCAGGGTTGCCAGATTTAAATTGCTAAAAGTAGCGAGCTGACGGTCTAAAAGTAGCAAATTTGTAAGTAGCCCAATTTTTTCTTTAGTGACTGATACGGGTTTCAAAGTAATCTATTATGATATATAGAGTACATTGAACGATTTTAATTGTTTTATTAACATTATCTCTGCATATATATATTTAACCGATATGATAATAGGATAACTTACCAATATTTACTGTTTGAAGCTTAATGGGGTGAAGTCCTTCCACGTCTTTACAGTTGAAGATTACCAAGATCTTGATCTGCATCCACAACCTCGTTCTTGTATATTGCAGACTCATATTTAAGCATTGACATGAGTGGTTCAAATGACGAGCAACAAGTTACATTTCCTTCAAGATGTTTTGATTCTCAAGACTGATGTCAAAAGCTCAAGTCCCATACCCATTCAAGATTTCTCAGTTTAGTTTTCACAGACGTTACTCTCGAAAATATCCGTTCAACCAGGGCATTACTGATTGGCAAGCTGTATATTTTCAACACAAACTCAGCGAGGTCAATCAGTATGGGATCGCCAGCAGTGTTCTTGACAGTTATTGTCTTGGTCTAAAATGACGATTCAGATGTCGGAATTTGTCCCTTACAAATGTTGGACTAGTCAATGGTTAACAGTAGGCGCCACTGACTTTCAATTTCACTAAGCTTAGATTGGTCAGCTGATACTAACGGAAGTTCCGAAAATGGTGGCCATGTAAGCTAAGGCATATGATAGGTAACAGATTTTTTACCTTTTTTTATAGTTTCAACATTACGAGAAAGAAGCTATTTGCAAGCTTTCATTAAAAAATTATCGCATCTTTCTTGAACATTTTGAAACTTTTCCTGGGTTGTAAAATTGTTTTGTCTGTTAGTGGCCAGAAGTGTTGAAAATTCGTAACCAAAGTCAACTTTCTCCAGGGGCAGATACATAGAATTGTAGTCCAAATTAACATGAAGCTTTGCATGATGAGGACGAAAGATTCTTCTGAGTATTCCAAGAGTGAAGTTTTCTAAGACAGTTTCTAAGACACGTGCCCAGTGTACTGTCCGCTCGGCCACCGGCCCCCTGATGAGATAATTATCTTATCTGATAAGATAATTATTTTACAAGATAATAAGTTGCATATCTTTACCAACTAGACTTTGCAAACTTTGTTTAGATAAATATGAAATTCGTCAAAGTTTATAGCCTACCTGGTATTTTGTGTAAGGATTTAGATCCTGGACAAAGACTTGGGTGGTGTTGAGGGGCTGGTCAGGCCTGTAGTAGACCCATTCTCCTGGTACCGTGGTCTGGTGGTACTGCACCAGGTACCGCACCTCATCCACCTCGGGGACAGTGTTCCATCTCAGCCCCACACTGGACTCACTCACACTCCGGGCGATGAGTTGCGGGGCTGCGGGAGTCGTTATCACCTCTGTCGACAACACCGCCACATGTATTGTAAAAATACACTACTGTATTAATAAATAAATCACCCAGCATACATACATCACATTAAATAAAGCGCCGATGTGATCCTATCCATTCCTGACATTACATTATATATTGAAAACATTGTTTAGTGTCCCCACAAAAAAACTGTTTATATTTAAAACTAAAGCCATTATATTGTAATATCTATTCTGAAATGTGAAAATAAAACTTTAAAAGAAGGTACATTTGTTAATATTTAAATGAATACATGTGAATACCCTTATAAAGAAGGTTTATATAGTATTCAACGTACCTATACCTGACACAAGTCTAGAGCTGCGTACACATACATCCCAGAGCTATAATGAAAGTCAAATAAAATAGTATTGGCCAAAACCCAGGCAACTGGCCAAAGTTGACCGGACCATTACTCGTTAGTCCAAGGGAGCATCATTACTATGGTACTGTTAAAGTCACTAAAGAATGGAGATTTACTGTGCATCAAGTGTAAGATAAGAGGCTGAGGAGGGGTAGAAATAGCCTAAGCTACTCTATCCCTTTGAGATGTATTTTTTTCTTGTCTCAATAAATAAACTTGAACTTGATAAGAGGTTCATGGTACACGTACCTTCCACTTGACGTAAGAAAGTCTGTGCAGCGTACACACACCCCATGGTACAGAACATGGTGTCCTCACTCGGCCAGCCGTGCGAGGTCTGAAATGTCAAATATAATTCACCAAGGAAGGAATAGGCTGTCGTGTTCCTACTCACTAAGGCTTTATAATATAATGCTTATTTTATGCCACTACACAGTGTTCGAAAGGAATTGTGCTGCAATGAAATATTTACGAAAGCCAAACTGATAAAAATAAATACTGGCGATATTCTATTGTATTTGCATGCACGTGACTGTAATTTTCTACTTGGCGTCCACTAGATGAGTTGGGGTGCAGTTAGGCAATTGAAAACTATATGTAATTAGCATAAAGATGATTTGAGTTCGATATCCGAACCATTTATTTATTTATTTATATACAAGAAGATACATTGGGGGTTAACAGAGAACATAGAAATGAAGTTGATTTTACATTCTTTTAAGGCTACTAGCACGTATAGCGTTTTTTTTTATGGAACCCATCTTCCAAACTAAAGGTACCTATGGCGCCTGGATTTCAACTAAACAAAAATCTCATTTATGTACAAATGGAATGTTAAAGGGCCTGAAAATTGAAACTACGTAACCTAATCTCTCCTAGGCCTACTATAAACAATCAGACTACTCAGAGCACATGAGACCACGCAGAACACAGAACAGTTCTCTTCACATGACAATACTTGTAAACAGACCAATGGAGAAGTCAAGCGCCCTCAGCCTATTGTCACCACCGGAAGAACCTCTTATTTCTTCTTTCACAGGATGAGTATGAGGTGCAAAATAAACTAGCAACAACAATCAATTTCTTAGTTCAAATCTGTCAATAATACAAGGGTTAACTTACACAAGTCTGCCGACAAGATGACCTGGTCGCCTCTCTCCAGTCCAAACACCCCGTGTGGCACTGTAATGAACAAACATCAACCATTATATTCTACTGCATAAACCCTCAAATTCTCTTCAAATATTCCATATATTAAAGCCGCCATCCTCTTCTACTGGTCGTTATATATGTTCTTATATACACGCTGTTCATATTGGTTCACTTCCCACCAGTCAATTGTTCGTTGCTCCTTCTTTGGCAATGATAATAATAATAATTTATTTATAAGGTACAATGGGTTGGTGAGATTACATAAGATTTGTTTTTTTTTACATTTATGAAAGCCACTAACTAACACGCATAGCGTTTCGGGCTAGTGATAAGATAATGATAAGATGAGTTGCCGTTTTTAGAAGCCTTGAAATACTCACACTTCTTAGTGTGAAGTGTGAAGTGCTGGACGGTAGAATGACGGTCTCCCTTCATGCAGGTCGGCGTTCAATCCCCGACCGTCCAAGTGGTCGGGTACCATTCCTTCCCTCCGTCCCACCCCAAATCCTAATCCTGACCCCCCTTCCAAGTGCTATATAGTCGTAATGGTTTGGCGCTTTCCCCCTGATAGTTCCCTTCCCTTCCTGTTTATCATGAAACATTCTACGTAGAATTTCTTTTTGCTGCACTGAACATTGTGATGACAAATCAAGTAGATTCTTTTGACCATGTCGTAGCTCAGTCGATTAAGGCAGCGTCTGGGATGCTGTCGGGCGCAGGTTCGAATCCCCGTGACGGCCCTTGTGGATTTGTTCACAAATCAAGTAGGTTATTTTTAGCTCTCTTATCCTGGGGGGAAATTCATTTACCACCCAGTCTGAGCGTCTCAGTTTAGTTTTGATTCAAATATTGTAAAATAGATCCGTCTCTCAATTCTTGGAGATGAGGAGATAGGGAGACAGAGAAGGGGGGGGGGGAAGAAAACACGATGGGGAGATACTGAGAGAGAGGGAGGTGTAGTATGGGATAATGGGCAGTTCAAGTTCATGTTTATTGAGATAAGAAAGAAATACATCTCAAAGGGATAGAGTAGCTTAGGCTATCTCTACCCTCCTCTACTTCAAGTTCCTCAAGGGGCGCACAAATTCAGTGAGTACAAATAGACAAATAACATTACAAAAATCCCATTTAACATTGCAGGTTAATATAGTAAGCACAGCATACAATAGTGGGCAGGTTAAGATATAGCCGGTCGGCCAAGCGGACAGCACGCTGGACTTGTGATCCTGTGGTTTCGGGTTCGATCCCCGGCGCCGGTGAGAAACAATGGGCAGAGTTTCTTTCACCCTGAATGCCCCTGTTACCTAGCAGTAAAACAGGTACCTGGGTGTTAGTCAGCTGTCACGGGCTGCTTCCTGGGGGTGGAGGCCTGGTCGAGGACCGGGCCGCGGGGACACTAAAAAAAAAGCCCCGAAATCATCTCAAGATAACCTCAAGAAGATAGCCGGCGTTAAGACCTTGGGTAAACAAACTCCGCCATGGTACAAGATTACCCTCACCACCGGCACATGGACGGCCCAGTATGTACACTATTTTATATTACTACACTATGTTAATGTCAACACTTTTTTTCCAATTGTAATGAAGCATTTTTTCCCCCGAATGCTTAAATATATATTTATCTTATCTCGTCTAATTATTCTTTTACTATAATCATATTACAATATTTAACTTATTTTTTAATGGCAAGACATTTTGAAATACTATCCGCAAAAAATTGTATAACAGCAAAGCACACAATGGCACGTTAGAGGATTACAATTAAACAAAATAAATAAGAAATTAATCAGTTTCGAATTTGTTCCTTAGCTTGAATAATATGGGAAAAACGTGACAAGAGCTAGTTTATTTACAGAGTATGAGATGTAAACACTGAGCAATAATTAACCGCCGGGACGAGCCTGTATGTAGTTCACCATATATGTAAATTGCTTGTCCAACCACTTAGATTGCATGGTAGAGCGACGTTCTTGCTTCTTGCAGGTCGGCGTTCAATCCCCGATCGTCCAAGCGGTTGGGCACTACACTACACTACACTATTCCTGGGCACTATTCCTTCCCCCCCGTCCTATCCTAAATCTTTATCCCTTCCAAGTGCTATATAGTCATAATAGCTTGATGCTTTCCCCTGATAATTACCTTACCATACGCACAATGAAATCCCATTAATAACGTGATGTATCATGAGAAAATCAGTAGGAGCCGTGATGAGGAGTCGAACCCATGCGCTAGGTACTCCCAGCAACGCTCTAAACCACTACACAATGACATGGTCAATAAGCGTTAGAACCTGGGATTCAATTAAATCGCAAGGGTTTCTGAGGCTTCCACTGAAGCCTAATCAGGGCTTCACACAACGCCCCTATGTACTCTAGCTTGTAGTCTAGTAATTCTATCTCCTACGCTTATCTTCAAATGCACAAAGAAATCACATTAATGTGATGTATCGTTTTGTCTTACCTGATCATAGTTTAAACTTTATAAGAAAGAACATCTGAATCCAGTTCTTGAATCCATTATAGGACGAACCTTTTCCGTCACCGTCCGCAGGTTGAGTATTTGTTGAGGGGTCCACCTTGAGGTTACCTTGAGGTGCTTCCGGGGCTTAGCGTCCCCGCGGCCCGGTCGTCGACCAGGCCTCCTGGTCGTACAGGCTTCCTGGTCGTACCAGACCTCCTGGTCGACCAGGCCTCCATAGTACACTAATTAAACTAAGCCCGCAGTAAGAATGTTTTAAAAGTATGACATCACCACAAAGGTCAACTGGTGACCTGTGAGACACATTTGTAAGACGAGAGGCTGGCTACCTGACATGCTAGGCTACTGTGAGCCCCCACCCACCCTGGGCTGGCAACAGTGTGGTCAGCCACTACACAAACAAACCTTCCCACAGTGGTTTCCTTCACAGACAGACGTGAAAGAAGTGGTCGGGGGCCAACCATCTCGACCCCTTCCACCAGGAATTTGGCATAATAATAATAATCCTCGTTAAGAAATTGCCAAGAACACTGTTATACAACCCAACCCCAGTACATATTACATATCTTACTAGACTTGATAAACTGTAACAATTTTGATCACATATTTAATAACAGCCTCTCATATTTTGTTATTTTATATAATACGTAAAATTTTAATTTCATTTATATATTATCCCATACCCATCCCGTGGGCGTTTTTTTTGTTATTTTTTTTATTATTATTTACTACCACAGACATGGCCACACATTTACAATGCTAACCAGCATATATACATTTTCTTCTGTCCTCCATGGACTGGTGGAAAGGGTTTCAGAGGCACATAATGGGTTTAGGAACTGAACCCCAGAGTTCGTTTAGCTAAGCAAGTGACAATCTTGTGGAGCTAGTTACACAATTGGTAATATTACATACACGGAGAAAATCTTACAGAAATTGAATCTAACGTTTCTGTTCATAAATATATTCACACAAATTGAAAACTTTACTTCACAAAATATTTACGCATTTATAACTGACGTCATCAAGAAAATTTCGAGTACGGTATTAATTTATACAAGAGGTAATAATAATAATACTAGCCTAACAGCGATCATAAGCGGGTCCGTCTAATTACCCAAAGTTACCCAAAGCCACTCAAAGCTTCCTGGCTTCCCCATACTCCCCATGACTCCCCATACTTCCCCATATTCCCCATGGCTTCCCCCCAGTTAGCTCAGCAAGTAACAATTTGTGAGGCTAGTTACACCAATTTTATTTTATTTTACACAAATACATGTACGAGCAAAGCTTAGATGGTCCCCAGGCACATATCACGTCAACTCTGTGACCTCTCAGAGGACTGGAACCTCGGGCCGCCAGCTAGGAATCCGGCGCTTCTCAACGGACTGAGAGAACCTTGAAGTAGGAGCTCATGGGCTCCTACTTCAAGGTTTTATTATAGACACGTTGCCTTGTACCTCATGTCCTTCAGATCCGTTCACGTTCACTTTTGTCTAAATGAACAACGTCACCCAGGGAAAGAAAACCAAGGAGGCATCCTTTAGCTATATTTTTTGAGATTGAGATATATACAAGAGTTGTTACATTCTTGTACAGCCACTAGTACGCGTAGCGTTTCGGGCAGGTCCCTGGAATACGATCCCCGCCGCGAAGAATCGTTTTTAGTGCTCATTTTACTGTTGAGTTAAACATAGGCTACAGTTAAGGATTTGCGCCCAGTAAATCCTCCCCGGCCAGGATACGAACCCATGGAACCCATGGAACGCCAGGCGAGTGTCTTACCACTACACCACGGAGACTGGTCTCTGCAATCTGGTTCCCTGGCTTCACTGGGAACTGTAATCCGGTTCCCTGAAGTACGCAGGGGTGAGGTTTTAAGGGGAGGAGAACCACAGTGCCTTGCAATGCTAATTGCAAACGCCTAGCAGAACTGTGACCACCTATGATGGACCAGGTGAAGGGTCACTGCTCCCACTACACTCTCATAACAAATAGAGGAGCACACAGGGGGCGCTACTGTAGCCAGAGCAGAATAAATCAGTGTTTCATAGACTAGAGAGGGGGTCTAAAGCTGGGAGGGGAGCATCCCCAGGTTAGGGGGGGGTACTGGGGGAAGAGAGATGGGGGGGGGGGGGTATAACAAGTGAAGAGCGACAGCCGCACCTGCACAGTAGAGTTTAACACTACATCCATGTTGTTGGGTGGAGGTCCGCCCCGCCTCCATCACCACCCGCCGTCATCACAATGCTGCTCTTCCTCTTAAACAATCATTCGTCACCGATCATCAATAGCATCAATGTTTTATATTCTATATTCCTCTACTTATCTCCTATTGCCACTACCCCCTACCCACCACGGGCTGTGGTGGGTATGTGGGCCTGCGGGCCGCTCCAAGCAACAGCCAGGTGGACCAAACTCTCACAAGTCAAGCCTGGCCTCGGGCCGGGCTTGGGGAGTAGAACTCCCAGAACCCCATCAACCAGGTAACCAGGTAACCAGGTAACCCCTTCTTGAGGTTATCTTCACATGATTTCGGGGCTTAAGCGTCC